TCCACAATGATGTGCACACAGGCATACCCCGCCATGCTCCATGCGCTCTTAGCTGCACAGACCGGGACAGCAGCCCTGCGGCTGGATGCCTTTGAAGCATCCAAACGCAGCAGGGGCCTCCAACCGTGGCTTCTTTTGAAAGACTTCTGGACTTCACAACTCCCAGAATTCTGCAGCCGGGTATTCTGGGAGTTGAAGTCCACAAGCCTTTTGAAGGGGCCACGGTTGGAGGCCCCTGCAATACAGTGAAGTCCAGCTTTAAAAGGAAGAGCTTCCTTTGAGTGACTGAAAAAAGCGACAGCTGAACCGCTTTTTTTAAAAAAACAAATAATACAATCATTATTTTTTTACTTGCAACGCCCAACGTATCCGAAACTCAACCAGCAGCACGAGAGAGAAATGCGAATTTCTCAACCACCCCTGCCGAGTAACTGCTAGCCCAGTGTTTCTCAACCTTGACAAATTTTAAGGCATGTGGACTTCAACTCCCAGAATTCCACAGCCAGCATTGCTGGCTGTGGAATTCTGGGAGTTGAAGTCCACATGCCTTAAAATGGCCAAGGTTGAGAAACACTGGCTAGCCCGTGCATCCTTTTTTCCTCTGAAGCTAGCTCTTCACTCTCTTTTCGCTCCTCAAATGAAATGCTGAAAGGTGAAGAGAAGGGGTGGGAGAGAGAGAGACTTGATGGGCTCTCCTGGACAGGGAAGTTCAGAGAGGCAGAAGTGAGGAGAAACTCGGAGGAGAAGCAGCGGTCCAGCGCAAGGCCCGCTGCTCCGTCAGAAGACATCCCTGAGAAGTCCTCTTCCCCCCAAAAAAGGAAGGCTGCGGGCTCCGCCAGACGGAGCTTCAACCTGAGCGACCAGAAATGGAATCCCTTTCCCGCCTTGGATTTCCTGAGAGCAGAATGTAGAGCTTAAGCACAAGGCAGATCCTGCAAATTTGACCTCTCGGAGTTGCGGGTACTCCATCCCTGGAGGTTTAAAAACAACAACAGACCGGACAATAAATTTTACCTGGATGGTTGTAAGGTCTCCTGCCTTGAGCGGGGAGGGGGTTGGACTAGGTGACCTCCAAGATCCCTTCCAATCCTATCACTCTCTGTTTGATCCAACTTTAATTCTGGGTTGTGGGATCCAGCCTCCCTTCCACAGATACAAGCCACGCTCCACGGGGACCGATGTGAAATAGGGAAGAGGAGACGTCCGTTTGGCTATGAATTTGGGGGGGGGGGGAAGAGCGAGCGGGGACATTCTGAGGTGGTCTTCTGAATGACCTGGGAGGGGAGCGAGGGAGGGAGGATGGCGGGAACCGTACGGAGGGCTGGTGCCGACTGGACAAAACCGCCGGTTAGACTCACACTTTTTTTTTAGTGTGAGTTTCTTGCTCCAGAGATTTGGGGAGGATTCATCCCGGCATCTCTTGGCGGCGGCTGCCGCTGCCATTTTAAGATGGTGGCCAATGAGGTCGCTCCACATTCAGCCGAGATAATAAGGCGGCTTCAAGCAAGCGGCGAGCTTGAATTTCTGAGGTGGGAACCGGCGGCAAGCCAGGCAGGCAGCGTTGGTGGGCCTTGGCTAGACGGACACCGGGGACGGCTCTGGCTGGGGTCTCCTCCCAACGGGGTGGTGGTGGTGGTCAAGCCACTGATGGGTCAAGGAGAGGAGCGCCATCTCCAAGGGGCCACAACTCGCTTCGAGGAGGCAACCGCCGAGTGGGGCGTTCTATCTAAAGCAGCGGTTCTCAACCTGTGGGTTGCGACCCCATTTGGGGCCGATCGACCATTTCACGGGGGTCGCCAAGCAAGGCTGTCCACCATTTTTTTCCCCCCCTTTTCCGGCGGGTGCCTTACCTCCCTTGGGCTGGGCCAGCTGGTGGCCCAGCCGGTGGTCGGCCTGCACCGTCTCTGCCGCTTGCCAGCTATGCCTCGGCCGGCGCAGGGGGCGGCACCACGCATGCGTGGGGCTCCTGGGCAGGGAAAGTCCTCGACTTACGACCAGTTGGGTAGTCCTCGACTTACGACCAGTTGGGTAGTCCTCGACTTACGACCGGTTGGGGGGGGTCGCGGCATTAAAAAGGTTGAGAACCACTGATCTAAAGTCATCCCCCCCCCCCGGATCTTGGTCCTGCAGGACTCTTAATTGTTTTGGGGGGACCAACGTGTCCACCCTGGCAATTCAAAGCCTGCGTTCGGCCCATATGGAAATTTTAAGATAGGGATAAAGAGGTCAACAAGAGAGAGAAAGAAAGATAAGCAGATGAAAAGGGAAAGAGAAAGGAAAGAGAAAGAAAGAGGGGGGAAAGAGGCATGGTAGAGAGAAGGGGAGAGAAAGGGAAGAAGGAAGGAAGGTAGGAAGAAAGGAAGGGAGGGGAGCGAGAGAAAGGGAAGAAGGAAAGGAAGATGGAAATGAGAGGAAGGAAGGAAGGAAGGAAGGAAGGGATGGGAATGAGAAGGAAGGGAGAAGATGGGAATAAGGAGATGGGAATGAGAAGGAAGGAAGGAAGGAAGGTAGGAAGAAAGGAAGGGAGGGGAGCGCGAGAAAGGGAAGATGGGAATGGGAGGAAGGAAGGAAGGGATGGGAATAAGGAGATGGGAACGAGAAGAAGGAAGGAAGGGAGAAAGAAGATGGAAAAACAGGAAGGAAAGAAACATGGGTAAGATGGATAAAAGATGAGAGGGAGGGAGGGAGGAAGGAAATGGAAGGAGAGAGAAAGAAACAGAAGGATGGATGGATGGATGGATGGAAAGACTGGAGAGGACTCAGGCAAGGGGGCTGAAGATAGAGCCCCCCCCCATCATGGCCCAGCCAATGAAACTTCTAGCAACTCTCCTCCTCCTCCTCCACTGCAGTGGCTGCCCCTCCTCTGAGCCAGGGGAGGCCAGAAGAGCCGCAGGTGTACAGCCCCGCTGCCAGGATGGCCCTGCAGCCTCCGGGGACAGCGGTGCAGAAGCGGCAGAGCCCAAAGCGAGGAAAACAGAAGCCGGGCGAGCCTTGCGGGGAAACGAGAGAGCGATGCTGCCCTCAGGCAGCCCGACCGTATCCAAGCAGCAGCCCAAGAGAACGAAACACCCGAGAAACAGAGAGAGAGAGAGAGAGAGAGAGAGAAGGGGACGGCCAAGGCCAGAGGCGTTTGCCGGCATTCACGGCCTTGAAAACAGGGACTCGCACCCGGTCCTCCCGCTTACAACCGTCGCAGAAGCACGAACCCACAGCTTTTTCTGCCCGCCGAAGCCTGAAGCCATCCTCCGAGGGGTCCCCCTCCTCGCTCCCTGACAGCCAGCCTTCTGTAAGGGCTTCGGAGTTGTCGTCGTCGTCGTCATCCCCGAAGCCTGGACGGAGAAGGTCCTCCCAGGGTGCCAAGTCCGAAGGCAGAGATGGGAGACGCCCTGCCCGCTTCCCCACCCCCCCAGGCCCCAGTTCCGGCCCCCTCCCCGTCGAAGGAAGGGCAAAGGTCCCAGGGAAAAAAAAAACAGCAACCCAAAGGCAGGCAAGAGGGTAAGAAGAAAGAGAGGATGGTTCCAGGAAGGAGCCGAGAGCTTGGCCAGAGACATGTTTCCTTAAACGGGCCATCTCTTGTGCTATCTGCTCCCAAACAGCTTCCAGGAAGTCAACAGGCCGGGGCCTTCCCTCCACTCCTGTGCCATGGGTCCAAGAGGCAGCCACAAAGCCCTCTGATTGGGTAATCTTGTCCCCTTCATCTTGGCTCCCGCAGGCAGTCAGCTCTCTGACCATCCGCAGGAGCCCATCCTTCGATTCGCCCACAAAAAAAGGGGGGAAAGAGAGAGAGAGAGAGAGAGAGAGAGAGAGAGAGAGAGAGAGAGAGAGAGAGAGAGAGAGAGAGAGAGAGAAAGGGAGGGAAAGGAAGTAAATAGATGCAGAAGGGAAGGAAGTAAATAGATAGGGAAGGAAAGGGAAGGGAGAAAGAGAGAGAGAGAGGGAAAATGAAAAGATAAAGACAGAAAGAGGAGAGCGAGAGAGAGAGAGAGAACGAACAGTTGGAAAACATCTCAGAAGTCTTCTAGTTCAACCCTCTACTCGGGTAGGAAACCCTATACCAGTGTTTCTCAACCTTGGCCACCTGAAGAGGTATGGACTTCAACTCCCAGAATTCCCCAGCCAGGAATTCTGGGAGTTGAAGTCCATACCTCTTCAAGTGGCCAAGGTTGAGAAACACTGCCCTATACCATTTCAGACAAATGGTTGTCCAAACATAAAGAGACGGAAAAAAGAAAGGAGGAGAAATAGAGGAAGAGAGAAATAGAGAGAGAGAGAGAGAGGAAGAGAGAAAGAAAAGAAAGAGAGAAAGGAAAAGAGACACAGGAAAGAGAGAGAGAGAGAAAGAAAGAGAGAAGGAAGATAGATGGGTAGGTAGGAAGGTGGGAAGGAAGGAAGGAAGGAAGGAAGGGAAAGAAAAAGAGAGAGGCAGCCAGCCTATCCTGGAAGCTCTTTCCTCCTGTCCTCTCCGAACCAAACAGCAGCCAGGCACGTCTCAGCCAGCCCCACCCACCCAAAGTGGAGAGCGAGGGATTCTCCCACCACAGGAAGAGAAACGAAACCAAACTCAAGAACAGGAGGAGGAAGCCAAGGCACCATTCTGCTCTCGGGGCTGCACAAGAAAGAAAGAGACAGAGAGAGAGACAGGGAGGGAGGGAGAGAGGGAGAGGGAGGGAGGGAGGGGGAAAGAGGGAGGGAGGGAGAGGGAGGGGGAGAGAGGGAGGGAGGGAGAGGGAAGGAGAAAGGGAGGGAGGGAGAGAGAGGGAAAGGGAGGGAGGGAGAGAGGGAGGGAGAGAGGAGGGGAGAGAAGGAGGGAGGGAGAGGGAGGGAGGGGGGAGAGAGAGGGAGGGAGGGGGAAAGAGGGAGAGGGAGGGAGGAGGGAGGGGGAGAGAGGGAGGGAGGGAGGGGGAGAGGGAGGGGGAGGGGGAGGGAGGGGGAGAGAGGGAGGGAGGGGGAGAGGGAGGGAGGGAGAGGGAGGGGGAGAGAGGGAGGGAGGGAGGGAGAGGGAAGGAGAGAGGGAGGGAGGGGGGGAGAGGGCCCCTTTCTTGAAAACCCCCCTGCCTGGCTGTTCCGGGTGCAAAGAGCGAGGGAGGAGAGGCAAGGCCCGGCCGATGGGGCTTCTTCCTTCTTCTGCCGGGAGGGCAGCGAACAGCAGCAGACAAGCAGGTGCACGAGAGAGAGGAGGGGGAGGAGGAGGAGGGAGGGAGGGAGGGAGGACAAGGCAGCCGGAGTGGCGGTCACATGGCCGTGCGGGTGGGAGTGCTGGGCTGCTTCAACCGCAGTGTCTTGCATAGCCAGCCGGCAAAATCCACCTCTTCCACTTCGGCCCGCTTGATGAAGGCGTGATTCTGAAAGCAGACGGGGAAAGAAAAGAAAAAAACAAACAAGGGAAGAGAGTTAGCACCATAGACATCGCCCTCAGATGCAAGAACGGACAGGAAGTGGTGGGATTCCAGAGGCCACGGAAAACAAGGGTCAAAGGGAGCCCACCCGGGTGGGGTCCAAACCGGGTGGATGGGGAGGCATTCGGTCAAACTTCCCTTCCCTGAAAAGGGCGGGGCAGTGGCCCCTTGAAGACTGGTGGACTTCAACTCCCAGAATCCCCCAGCCCAGGTCAGGGGTCAAAGGGAAACGACCACGGTCGAAACCCGGTAGAGGTTGAGGCATTTGGTCAAACTTCCCTTCCCTGAAAAGTGTGGGGCAGACGTCTCCAACCTTGCCCCTTTAAGACTGGTGGATTTCAACTCCCAGAATTCCCTAGCCAGCATAGCTGGCTGGGGAATTCTGGGAGTTGAAGTCCACCAGTCTTAAAGGGGCCAAGGTTGGAGACTCCTGAGTGTAGGGTTTTTGAAACACAAAGAATGTCCGTCACAGTACAGGTTTTCCTCAATTTACAGCCCACCCTCTGACGTTACAAAACAGCAACCTGTGGCCGGCGGTCCTCCCACTTATGACCGTCACAGCACATCATCCAAATTCAGAGGCTTTGGCAATCCCGGTGTGCGTTTACGACATTTTCAAACTCCCAGGGATCCTGCGATTGCCATTTGTGACCTTCCTGGCTGGTTTCCGACAAGCGAAGTCAACGGGAGGATCTGGATTCGCTTAACGACTGTGTGTGATTCACTTAAGAGCAGCAGTGCTTTGATTTACCACCGTGGGCCCCCAACCCCCAAAAAAAGAAGTCCCAAAGGTGCTTTTTCCAATAGGCAACTTGGAGTTTTTTTGAGTTTTTTTTCTCTCTAAAAACATTTCGTTTCCTCATCCAAGAAATGTCAGGAATCAAAGGAAAAAAAAAGCTTCATCATCATCATCGTCATCGTCATCATCATCATCATACCATCAAACATCCACATCTGTCTCTCCCAGGTCCTGGGTAAGGACTCGATAGGTAGACAAAATGCCAAATCCAGTCTGAACATCTGGCTGACTGTGCGATGATCCATAATAATAATAATAATAATAATAATAATAATAATAATAATAATAATAATAGTAATAATAATAATAATAATAATAATAATAATAATAATAATAATAATAATAATCCCCCAGTGAGGCACTACCTTGACGTGGTTGTGGGGCTTGTGTACTCTGAGGAAGATGAGAGCTATGCCAGAGGTTCAACCATACTGGACAGGTCTCATCAGAGGAGTCAGACAAAGAGTGTCTCTCCCATAAAAAATATGGTGAGACGTAAATTTCAGAATGCCATACCGGCTCGGACGTCGCCCGGGTTAACAAGGTCCGCACTAGATATTGGAGTTCCTGGATATCTGGTGAAAAATGGGTTACAGGACTCAGGACTGTTGGCTGAGCAACCAGGGCCAGCAGCTGCAGAACTACTGGAAGAAAAGGTGTTTACCCGTCGCAGATACACAGTGATGGAAAACAAAGAAATAATGATCTGTTACTACAGATCAAGTCCAACAAGAAGAGGATATCTAAAACGAATGCACCAGTTCTGGAAAGAACAACATCCAGAATCAGAAATAACAGAACAGAGACTAGCAGATCAACGCCGATTTATAACACGAAATAAAATATTCACAGAAACAGAATTGGACGAACTGCAAAGGTTTACCCAGGGCAAAGAAATCAAAGCCTTACCAGAAGTAATTCAGAATGTAGAGGCAAACCAGGGGGAGTTGGCAGTGAAGGAATCTAGCAGAGATATACAACTGTTCTCATTTGGAAACCAGGCACCTTACCTCAGGAAGAACAAAACCCTCTAACTAAAGAAATAAAAGAATTGAAACAAAGAATAACTGAGCATCTAGAACAGCACAAAAACAACAGAATAAGGCTACCTGCATTGAAGCTTGTTCCAAAGAAACAGCTAGCACAAGCATTAAAAGATGCAAATATTGCAATATCAAGTATAAGCACCAATTCACTGCAAGAAACAAACCAACTAATGTACAGCACAGCTGCAGTTATAACAGAATACCTGGGATGCAAAATCAACAAAGAAGAAAAACAAACAAACAGTGCACCACAAAAATGGAAGGTTAGACTAGAAAATAAGATCAGCAAGTTAAGATCACATGCAAGCAAGCTAGAACAGATGAAAGAAAAGAAGCTGAAGAACAAGAAGACCAAAGAATACCTAATCAAGAAATACCACTTAGAAACAAGGAAGATCAAGGAAGCACTGGAAATAATAAAGCAACAAATAACAGCTATAGCCAGGAAAATCAGTAGATATGAAGCTCGAATTGCAAACTATAGGCAGAACCTCCAATTTCAATCCAATCAGAAACGTTTCTACCAATCCATCAATGGAGAAACTGCAAGGAATCAGTCAGTACCTGACAAGGAAGAAACAGTGCAGTTCTGGAAGCAGATATGGGATAACCCAAAGAAATACAACAAGGATGCGGCTTGGTTAAAAGAGGTGGATGCAAATAAAACAGAAGTTGAAATGAAAGAACTAGTAATAACAACAAAAATGGTAGAAAAAAGAGCAAAGAAAATCAAAAATTGGTCAGCACCAGGTGAAGATGAACTGCATGGGTTTTGGTTGAAACATCTAACTGTTATACACCCACTCATTGCCAACAGTTCAACAATATACTACAAGGAGGAGAAATTGAAAAGTGGCTAACAACTGGGAAAACCTACCTAATAATGAAAAATCCAGCAAAAGGGGCAACACCAGGTAACTACAGGCCAATTACCTGCTTACCAACAACTTTCAAATTACTAACTGGTGTGGTAGCTGATGCAGTACAACAGCATCTAGTTGAAAACAATCTCTTTCCACCTGAGCAGAAAGGAAACCGCCCCAATAGCAGAGGAACAAAAGATCAACTCCTAATAGACAAAATGATCTTGGAAAACTGCAAGAGAAGGAAGACCAACCTGAATGTGGCATGGATTGACTACAAAAAGGCATTTGACTCTCTGCCACATGATTGGATAATAAAGTGCCTAGAAATAACAGGAGTCAGTAGAAACATCAGAAAATTTGTGCAAAGATCGATGGCACAATGGAAGACACAGTTGCAGATCAATGGTGAGAGGCTGGGAGAGGTTAATATCAAGAGAGGAATATTTCAAGGAGATTCATTATCACCATTACTATTTGTTATTGCACTGTTTCCTCTGTCAACAATACTGAATAACTCAGGACATGGCTATCAAACATCAAAAACATCTGCCAGACTATCCCACCTCCTTTATATGGATGATCTGAAGCTGTATGGAAAAACATCATCTGAAATAGAATCGCTGCTCAACACTGTCCGTATATATAGCCAAGATATTGTAATGGAGTTTGGCTTGGACAAATGTGCCACACTTACTATCAAACAAGGAAAAATAGTGAAAACTGAAGGAATCAAGATGCCCCACGAAAATAACATTAAGAGTCTGGATGAGGAAGAGTACTACAAATACTTGGGTATCCTTCAAGCTGACAACATCAAGCACACTGAAGTCAAGAAAAAGATTAGAGGTGAATACATCAAGAGAGTGAAGAAGATCTTAAAGTCCAAACTCAATGGAGGAAATACCATAAAGGCAATCAACACCTGGGCAATCCCAGTCATTAGGTACACAGCTGGAATAGTGGACTGGACTCAAGCAGAACTAAAAGCAATGGATAGGCAGACCAGAAAAATAATGACAATGAATCATGCCCTTCATCCACGCAGTGACATTGATAGACTTTATCTACCAAGGCAAATAGGTGGGCGTGGAATGCTACAAGTACATCAGATGGTTGAAGAAGAAAAAATGGCTTTGGAAGAATATCTGAAGAACAATGATGAAGATGCACTGAAATTAGTATATCAGGAAGGCTTACTAACTACTGGAGAGACCAAACTGGCCTACAAGAAAGACCAAATGAAGAACAGAATAGAGGCATGGGAAGACAAAGCACTACATGGCCAATACATGAAAAAAATAGCTGGGAAAGCAGATAATAAAACCTGGCAATGGCTAAGAGCAGGAAAATTGAAGAAAGAGACCGAGGGACTAATTCTGGCTGCACAAGACCAAGCCTTAAGGACAAATGCATACAAAGTCAAAATTGAGAAGACAGCAACAGACAGTAAGTGCCGCCTATGCAAAGAAGCTGAAGAAACAGTGGACCACTTGGTAAGCTGTTGCAAGAAGATTGCACAGACTGATTACAAGCAGCGGCATGACAAAGTAGCAACAATGGTGCATTGGAAGATCTGCAAAAAATATCATTTGCCTGTAAGCAAAAACTGGTGGGATCATAAAATAGAGAAAGTCATAGAAAATGATAAAATTAAACTGCTCTGGGACTTCAGAATTCAAACAGACAAGCACCTGCAACATAACACCCCAGACTTAACAATTGTCGATAAGAAAGACAAAAAAGTCTGGATAGTGGACGTGGCAGTGCCTGGAGACAGCAGAATAGAAGAGAAAGAACTGGAGAAGATAACAAAATACAAAGACCTACAAATAGAAATAGAAAGACTGTGGCAAAAGCAAGCAAGGGTAGTACCAATAGTCATAGGCTCCTTGGGTGCAATCCCAAAACAACTGGAGCACCACTTGAACACCATTGGCATTGACAAATTCGCTATTAGTCAATTGCAAAAGGCGGCCTTATTAGGAACTGCTTCCATCCTGCGACGATATCTGTAATACCATCAAACATCCACATCTGCCTATCCCAGGTCCTGGGTAAGGACTCGATAGGTAGACAAAATGCCAAATCCAGTCTGAACATCTGGCTGACTGTGCGATGATCGATAATAATAATAATAATAATAATGATAATAATGTTGCAAGGGACCTTGGAGGTCATCTAGTCCAACCCCCTGCTCTTGGATGAGAAGTGAAACGTTTTCAAAGAACAAACAAACAAAAAGGGAGTCCAGTTGTCCTTTTGAAAAAAGCACCTTTGCGATAACCGTGACCCGGATGATGTCGGACAATCTCCACACGACACGCGCGAACCGAGGTTGTAGAATCGGCAGTCGCTCGCTTAACGCGCGTGTGTGTTTAACCATGGAAATTCTGCCCCCCTGTAGTCGTAAACTGAGGACCATCTGTACATTTTGGGGAGCCCTGTCTAAATTCTGGTTCCACAAAACTCTCTCTCTCTCTCTCTGTGTGTGTATGAGTGTGTGTGTGTGTGTTCGGTAGCCCTACAGCAGAGTTCCCTAACCTTTCAGAGTGGGCAGCCTGGAGCGGCGGGAGGAAGGACAGATGGGGTGGTTTTGTATAGGGTGGGGGAATGAACAAGTGCACGCACGCATGCGTGTGCACAAACACACGTTGCTCACAGGAGTGGGGCTGTGAATGCCTGCGACGCTCACTGGAGTGGGGCTATGGGAGTGTGCGCAAGTGGAGCTGTGTGTGTGAACACACCCACACACCGGCCAGCTATTCACGTGGTCTGGTGGCCGATAGCCCGCAGCCCATAGGTTGGGGACCCCTCCCCTACAGCAGAACAACCAGACTTAGCATAGACCAGGGGTCTTCAAACTCGGCCCTTTGATGACTCGTGGACTTCAACTCCCAGAATTCCTCAGCCAGGCACGCTGGCTGAGGAATTCTGGGAGTTGAAGTTCACGAGTCATCAAAGGGCCCAGTTTGAAGACCCCTGGCATAGACGGTGATGAGGAATGCTGAAAGTTGCAGCTCCCCGGCATTTTTAAAGAGACACGGAGGCTCTCTGACCTTAATGTAAAACAATATCAAGTAGTTTTTATTGCTTTTAATAATAAACAGCTGTTTTATTTATCCCAGAGTTTGAGGATCCTATGTCACTAGCGTAAACATGCCTGGGATTCCTATTTTTAAAATTATTAGAGATATATACATATACATATATATCCCTCCCTGATACAGCTGACAAGTGAGAAAGAGCCTTGTGGCCAAGAGGTCAACACAGCTGCCTAACCTGCTGTGTAAGCAGCCCCCAGGTTCGAATCTCAGAAGGGTATGGCTGGCTGATGAGAGCGAATTAGCTCCAAATAGCTATCCCAGTCCCCCTTTAACTCTTGGTTAGCAATCTAAAAAATTTGTTAGCATGCAAGTTATGGGGAGAAATAGGTATCTGAATTTTTTTAAAAATTCAAATTGCAATCCCACCCGTACATAAACACACCTTCCAAACTGAACGTGTTTTAATTTAGGGTGGATTTCCGCCCCGGTTCTCTGGTTATTTATTCGGTTCTTGTTTCGATAAGTGTGTCGGGCAGAGGGTTTGCTAGGAGTGGAAACCCCCATCCTGAAGGCCTCCTGAAGAGTCAGCAGATTCCTATTTCTGTTCTTTGTAGATAGCGGACCCCCCCTCCCCTCCGAGGCCCACATGGCTTTAAGAAGGAAGTCAACCCCAGTCTGGAGTTTTGCATCACATGTTTGTCACACTTGCCTATTCTAGCACTCTCCAGAGGATATTCAGAGCAATAAATGCCAAGTGGAGAAAAACTGGGGGGGCTATCTCAACAGTGCAGAGCTGGATACAATTCTCCTGTCTGGAGATAAGCGGATAGACAAGTCCTACGTGGAGCCCACTTTCTGTTTCTGTATACAAAGCTGTGTTTTTCAACTCCCAGAATTCCCCAGCCGGCCACAGAGGTGTGGGAAGACCCTGGCCACGGGGTGTGTAGGAGGACCTTGGCCACTGGGGGTGTGGGAAGACCCTGGCCACGGGGGGTGTAGGAGGACCCTGGCCACTGGGGGTGTGGGAAGACCCTGGCCACTGGGGGTGTGGGAAGACCCTGGCCACGGGGGGTGTAGGAGGACTCTGGCCACTGGGGGTGTGGGCAGGCACCAGCCATGGGGTGTGTAGGAGGACCTTGGCCACTGGGGGTGTGGGAAGACCCTGGCCACGGGGGGTGTAGGAGGACCCTGGCCACTGGGGGTGTGGGAAGACCGTGGCCACGGGGGGTGTAGGAGGACCCTGGCCACTCGGGGTGTGGAAAGACCCTTGCCACAGGGTGTGTAGGAGGACCTTGTTCACTGAGGGTGTGGGAAGACCCTGGCCACAGGGTGTGTAAGAGGACCTTGGCCACTGGGGGTGTGGGAAGACCCTGGCCATGGGGTGTGTAAGGGGACCCTGGCCACTGGGGGTGTGGAAAGACCCTTGCCACAGGGTGTGTAGGAAGACCTTGTCCACTGAGGGTGTGGGAAGACCCTGGCCACGGGGTGTGTAAGAGGACCTTGGCCACTGGGGGTGTGGGAAGACCCTGGCCACGGGGGGTGTAGGAGGACCCTGGCCACTGGGGGTGTGGGAAGACCCTGGCCACGGGGTGTGTTGGGGGACCCTGGCCACGGGGTGTGTAGGGGGACCCTGGCCACTCGGGGTGTGGAAAGACCCTGGCCACAGGGTGTGTAGGAGGACCTTGTCCACTGAGGGTGTGGGAAGACCCTGGCCACGGGGGGTGTAGGAGGACCCTGGCCACTGAGGGTGTGGGAAGACCCTGGCCACTGGGGGTGTGGGCGGGCACCAGCCATGGGGTGTGTGGGAGGTATCTGAGCACACAAACCGGCAATTCTTACCATCAGCATCTTTAGATCTGCCCGTTCAGCAGGGTTTTTAATTAAGCTGGGAGAGGGGGAAAAAAAACAACAACAGAAAGTTGGTCAATTATGGCCACTGCAAAATGCGCACACCTATATTCAGCCCTGGCGTTTGGGAGATGCCAGATGCACAAAGCTCTCCTCAGCTGTTCTAACCTAAGTCCATCCATCTGGCTTAGTCATAAATAAGGTCAGGCCAAGAGCACAGGGAGTTCTCGACTTACAACGGTTCCATTTAGTGGCTGTTCGGAGTTACAGCGGCACCCTTTTTTCGCCCTGACGACCGTTGCGGCCTCCCCCACGGTCCCGTGGTCAAAAATCTGGACGCTTGGCAACTGACTCACATTTATGATGGTCGCCGTGTCCCCGGGTCACGCGGTCCCCTTTTGCGACTTTTGAACCCGCGACGTCAATGGGGAAGCCAGATTCCCTTAACAACTGCAGCGATTCGTTTAACAGCCGTGGCGAGAAAAGTCATAAAGTGGAGGAAAAAATTCACTTCCACCAATGCCTCACTTTGCAACAAAAATGAGGGGCTCCGTTGCGGTTGCAAGTCGAGGGTTAGGGGTACTACCTGTATAGAGGAATCTCATCCCCAGGGAGGGAGAGGAACCAACAGCCTGACCCACAGCCATCAGAAGTTATGTTTTCTAGCCTTTTCTAGTAAAAATAATCTATGGTTACCCAGGAGCCCTGGTACTTAAGGTCACCATTTGCAGGCCTGGCACCCAGGTGAAGCCCTCATCCTGAGCCTGCGTGTCTCCAGGAATTGCATTCACACAGACTCCCTGACCCTAATCCCAAGGTTTTACATTTCCCGCTGATAAGCGCAAGATGTCTTACCATTTATTTACAAACTCCTGGAATTCTTGGGTGAAAACTCCATAGGGCAGTTTTGGAGGTGGCTGAAATAAACAAGAAAAAAATAATAATTCAGGTGAAGAGCTCTGGGATTTGGGAAAAACCACCTCAGTTTAGGAAACAGCCTTCAGCCAATGGGTTCCACTTAACGATAGTGGCATTTGCTTAACGACCACTGCAAAAAACGGTCATAAATTTGAGTCAGTTATATGGGTAGGAGCCACTTTACAGCCACCGTTGACAGGCTCCATTATGGTCATAAGTTGAAGTCTTCCTGTATATTTGGAGAGATTTGAACACGTTTACAGTAGTGGCCAAAATGGTGGAAACCTTTTGGGACAAGTGTTAGAAATGCCACCTTTTTTCTTCTAATTTATTTATCACTGTAGCCTTGTTCACCTAATAATACTATTTTACATGGCCTTCTGGGCAACCAGTCAACTCTTTCAGAATACAGCCGCGAGAGCGATTGTGGGTGCACCAAGGTACACCCACGTGTCACCTATCCTCCGCGAGCTGCACTGCTTCCTGCGGGTCTCCGGACACAATTCAAAGTGTTGGTTATCACCTTTAAAGCCCTTCATGGCTTAGAACCAGGTTACTTACAGGACCGCATACTGCCGCATAGTTCCCAGAGACCGGTGAGGTCCCACAGATTGGGCCTCCTTCAGGTCCCGTCGGCCAGACAATGTCGGCCGGCGGGCCCTCGGGGAAGGGCCTTTTCTGTGGTGGCTCCGACCTGGTGGAATCAACTTCCCCCCGAGATTCGAACTACTCCCACCTTGCCGGCCTTCAAGAAAGCTATTAAAACTCTCCTGTTCCGGCAGGCCTGGGGTTGATGTCCCTGGGAGGCCGGGATTCGATTGGGACATGCTGTGTGAATGTATTCATTTTTAATTGTTATAGTTGTTTAAATTTTGTACGCCGCCCTGAGTCCCTAGGGATTGGGCGGCATATAAATTTTACTAATAAATAATAAATAAATAAATTTGCACCATCACTTTAATTTTATTACGTTTTACAAGCTCACTCAACAAAAGAACACAAAAAAACCTCAACCAACTTGATAGCGATCACATAACACACTGACCAATGTCCTCCTCTGTGCTTCAATCCATCAATAACTATTGTGATCTGACTGGCTCATTGCCAAAACAAGACGACACCCAATTGGCTCCCTAAACACTCGTGCTCATTGGCTACCATCAAATGAAGGAAAGCTACCTGAGATCAACCTAAGCAAGGTGTGCTTCCTTTTTCTGGTTATCTGGCTATAACGTTTCATGGAATACAGTACAGATAATTGAACAAACTACGTTGCGTTACATTCTTGATTAAATTATCTTTCCATTGATATGTAATTTTATGGTACTACTCCCCCCCCCCAAAAAAAGTGGTGTTATTAGCCATCCAACCGCAAAAATACACTTTTCCCAAAACGTTTCCACAATTTTGGCCACTACTGTATGTACAAGTATGCAATTAAAATAAACAGGTCCTTAGCTGATTCCACGGTAACATCATCACGCCTTGGCAGAGAATAAATATTAAGAGACAAAAACTGATGGTGTTACCTTGTTGGGTTACGACATGTCTACAAGAAAAGAACCAAACTCAGAGATCACCAAGGACCCCACAATCCTCCTCCTTTTCCTCTCCTCCAAAACCCACTCCCTGTTAGCACAGATGATGTTACCTGGTTGGGTAATGAAACGTCTGCAAGAAAACAACCAAGCTCAGAGAGCACCCAGAACCCCACAGCTCAATCTTAAAACTACAAATAATCTGTTTGGATAAAAGCTCCCTAGTCCTCATTGCTCAAGAAGAAAAGCCACTATTGATAGGGATGGAGAAAACTCAACATGGTTGGGGTCCTGGGCTCTTACGTCCCCTTGCTTTTCCAAAGCTGACAACGCTCCTCGTTAGTTCAACGTTAAAGATCCTAGAAGACTCCAGAAAGAGTGCAGAGAAGAGCAGCAAAGAGGATCAGGGGACTGGAGGCTAGAACATAGAAGGAACGGCTGCTGGAATTGGGTCTGTCTAGTTTAATGACGAGAAGGATGAGCGGGGACAGGATAGCAGCCTTCCAGTATCTCAGGGGCTGCCCCAAAGAAGAGGGAGTCAAGCTGTTCTCCAAAGCCCCTGAAGGCAGGACAAGAAGCAACAGATGGAGAAACTAATCAAGGAGAGAAGCAACCTAGAACTAAGGAGAAACTTCCTGACAGTGAGAACAATTAACCAGGGGAACCACCTGACTCCAGAAGCGGTGAATGCTCCAACACTGGAAGTTTTTAAGAAGAGACTGGACAGCCATTTGTCTGAAATGATATATAGGGTTTCCTGCCTGAGTAGGTGGTTGGACTAGATGACCTACAAGGTCCCTTCCAACTACTATTACTACTACTACTACTACTACTACTACTACTTCTTCTTCTTCTTCTTCTTCTTCTTCTTCTTCTTCTTCTTCTTCTTCTTCTTCTTCTTCTTCTTCTTCTTCTTCTTCTTCTTCTTCTTCTTCTTCTTCTTCTTCTTCTTCTTCTTCTTCTTCTTCTTCTTCTTCTTCTTCTTCTTCTTCTTCTTCTTCTTCTTCTTCTTCTTCTTCTTCTTCTTCCTCCTCCTCCTCCTCCTCCTCCTCCTCCTCCTCCTCCTCCTCATTATTATTATTATTATTATTATTATCACTATTGCTATTATTATTATCCAAAAGAACCTGGCATATTAATGACACAGCAGCCCGGGTCGTCTTCCCCAGAGTGGCCTCTCCACGGTATGAGATCCGGGCTGGGTGGGTCGTTCTTGCTCTCTGCGCTGAACGGAAATAGTCCTGAGGGAGCCACAGTTTCCAGGGACTCTGCAACGTTGCTTCCTTAACTTCCGATGCATTTCTTTCCATCTGCACCCTCTTCGCTCTCTTTCTCGATCCTTCATCTCGTAACGCTCCCTTTTTATCTCTCACTGCTCCACAAGTAGAGAAAAATGCCGGGCTCTTGGTTTTCCTCCTTTCATTTTCAAAGGCAAGGAGACGGACACATCTTCATTCATTTCTCTCTTCTTTTCTCTGCATTTTTACCTACACCCGTGGGCTTGCGTTGTTCCCATTTCACAGGCAGGCCTGTAATTAGACCTCAACAACACTGTGGTGGATGGCAGTGGATCGACCGGGGGGGGGGAAGAGGGGATGGTTCCGTGTGAGCGGCAGGTGCCCGCACTTGTGCGCACAACTCTTTACACAGCAGTAGGGGTGCACACAGGCCACTCATGCAAAGGGAGCCTCGCGCACGAGCGCTCGCCAGTCATGTAAATGGAGCTGTACACGCGCGCACACTCGCCCGCTGCTTGCACAGCTCGGCTCCGAACAGGCTGCGGTCCTAACCTGTGGATTCGAAGCTTAAAATGAGGCATCCTGTGCTACTTATTATCATATCTGGTGGACGTGTAAGCATATAAAAGCTTTTTGGATTAAGATATGGTGGAATATTCAGAGAATTTTTAGAAGGAGGGTAAAATTTACTCCACAATTATTTTTATTAGGTATTGTTACTGATTGTGATGCTAGGGAGGTTATATTGATGTTAAATTTGATTACAGCCGCTAGGCTGTTAATAGGACAATATTGGAAGAAGGAATCCTTGCCTATTTTACAAGAGTGGTTTTATAAAGTTTCGTATTTGGCAGAAATGGCAAAGATTTCGGCTTTTTTAAAGGAGCAATCTCAAGAGAAATTTTTTGCGGTATGGGAAAAATGGATAAATTTTATACAACATAATTTAGATATGGAAAAATATTATTTAGCCTTTTTATAACTTGTAATGATTGTTTTTTTTTCTTTCTTTCTTCTTCTGTATTATTATTAAATATATTATTATATATTTCTATATATGTTTTATTTTTCGCCTATCTCTTTTTTCTTTCTCTCTCTTTTCTTTTTTCCTTTTTTCTTCTTTTTTTTTACGTATATTATTATTATATATATTATTATTATGATTTTTATTATTATTATTAATTATCTTATAAATTGTATACGTTATTTTTTAAAATTTGTTAAATAATCCTATATTCAGTTCTGGGAAGTCGGGGGGGGGGGAGGGTGGGGTGGTTTGGGAGGGGGGGTGGATGTTTATTTGTAAAATTTTTGAAAAAAATTCAATAAAAAAAAAAAATGAAGCATCCTGGCTGCTCTTTGAGCTGGCTTGTTTTCTTGCAGGCGTTTCATGACCCAACTAGGTAACATCATCAGTGCTAGAAGGGAGTTTGTGGAGAGGAGGAGGAGGACTGTGGGGTCCTTGGTGCTCTCTGAGCTTGTTTGTTTTCTTGCAGACGTTTCATGACCCAACTAGGTAACATCATCAGTGCTAGGAAGGAGTGCGGTTTGCTATCACTTTATATTCTGGTGTCTTGCCTGTCTGGGTGGATGGGAGCTGGTCTTAGGGATTCTTCGGTTGGGCTGTTTCCTAAGGGCACTTTGGCCCTTTTTTGATTGGGGTGTTGCTTACTGCTCTGAAGGTGACCTGGGAGTTACCATAAATGCCGGCATATAAGAGCCGAGGTGGCGCAGCAGTTAGGGTGCAGTACTGCAGGCCACTTTAGCTGACTGTGTTCAGCAGGTCAGCGGTTCAAATCTCACCGGCTCAAGGTTGACTCAGCCTTCCATCCTTCCGGGGTAGGTAAAATGAGGACCCAGATTGTTGGGGGCAATGGAAATATATATATATATACATTGCTTACTGATGTATACCGCTTAGAGAGTGCTTGCACTTAAAGCGGTATATAAGTCTCATAAATAAATAAGACGACTTCCGCGAGCGCTGAAATCGGTGCCAAAGACGGGGGTCATCTTATACGCCGAGTCGTCTTATACGCCGGAAATACTGGTAGTTTCTGGCATATAAGACGTTCTAGGAATGCGGCCCAGCTATAAAGACGGGGGTCGTCTTATACGCCGGGTCGCCTAATACGCCAGCATATACGGTAATCTCTGTTGATCTGGGTGCGGATTCCTGGTAGAAAGAAGAAGCGCTGGGGTCTTCTTGTTCCCTTTTGATGCTGGTGGATTGCCTCTTTTGCACAGTCTGTAGATGTGGTTAATGCCTCTGTGTCCGTTGATGGCTGATTTGTCAACAGGGCCAAACCTCTAGGAATTCCCTGGCATTGTTGGACTTGGCCTGGTCTAGGACGGTCACATTTTCCCCATTGCAACGATGGTTACATCTGTCTGTCTGTTGTGAAATTAGCCTTCTCGTTTTTTTTATTTCAAAACAGTTTTTCAGTTGCATTTCACAAACAGGATTATTAAAAAAAAAAAAAAAGGGAAAAGCGAAAAACCTGCTTTTGTTTAAGGGAACAGAGCTAATAATAGGACGAGCAAACTCTCAATCCGGCCAAAGACAGGAGCCTGTTTTTCACTAAGGAGGGAGATTGCTGCTTGCTGGAATGTTTGTGTCCCCCCCCCTCGCAAAACAAAACCCAGACAAGGGGAGACCCACAGGAAGTGGCTGTTTTTTTCAGGCGGGCTAGTTGACCTATTGTGGCCTAGGGAGGGAGGGAAAGGCCCCCACATGGGTCCCTGTGGAGGCACCATGGGCAGGACGAGGCGGCAGAGGGATGCGCTGGTAGCTGTAGGGAGGGGGCCAAGAGGGGCCATTGTATCCATGGGGTGGCATCAAGGGAGGCAGCCCACGCCTCCCGTGAGGTGGCATGGGACCAGCATAACCCACTGGTGATCCAAAGTGAGGTCCCCTAGGTGGCATGCCCATGGGGGGTGGCCCAGGATGGGGCATGCCTGGGGGGTGGGTGTGGAGGTGGCTGCCCCCCTGCCCCGGGGGTCCAGGGTGATGTGGGCCCATCCCAGACATTCCATGATGGACTTGCATTTGCAGCATGCAGGAATGCATTCCACATTTATTTATTTATGAGACTTATATACCGCTTTAAGTGCGAGCACTCTCTAAGCGGTGCACACCAGTAAGCAATGTATATATATATATTTACATTGCCCCCAACAATCTGGGTCCTCATTTTACCTACCCCGGAAGGATGGAAGGCTGAGTCAACCTTGAGCCGGTGAGATTTGAACCGCTGACCTGCTGAACACAGTCAGCTAAAGTGGCCTGCAGTACTGCACTCTAACTGCTGCGCCACCTTGGCTCTTTTAAGATCCATATTTATTTATGGAGGGGAAGGATGTGGGTGGGGAGCATGTGCTCCCCCTGGGGGCTCCTGTGGAAGGAGGTTCTGGGGTACCTGTCCCTGGTGGCATGTGTGGAGGCAATCCTGGTGGCAAAGCTCCCAGAGGGGATACCAATGGAGGAAACGATCCAAGTAGGGGGATGCCTGGAGGAGTAACCCCTGGTCCCGAGGTGGTAACCACTGGCATGGGCACCGAGTGCAGGGCATCTGCAAAGAGTTGGTGCGGCCGGTCGGCCTGGGAGGGGGGAGGTCTTTGCCATGAGGAGGCGCTCAGCTGCGGAGCCATGCCTCCCCCCTTGGAATCCTTCAAGGCGCAGGAGACGGTGATGGGGCGGTTGCCCAGGTACCGTCCATTCGTCGCCTCAATGGCGGCATCTGAGGCATCGAAGCTGGCAAAACTAATGAAGGCGTCACCCTTGGCGTTGCCCGTTGTCAGGGTCACACGTGATCTTCGGAGTTTGCAGGATGACCCTGAAGGCGCTCAATGTGTCGTACGGCAGCTTCTCGTCAATCCCCGGATCCAGCTTGCCAAGGAAGATGTTGGCAGCCACATCCAGGTTCTTGTCGTGGGCCGAGGCCTTGTTGACCCGGATGGGCTTCCCGTAGAATTTGATCACGTTCATGATCTCCATAGCGTAGTCGCCAAAGAACTCCACGAACCTTGGCGCCTTGGCGCTGGCCCGTGACACGGTCTCTGGGCATGTGGGCGTTGACCACGGGGCCCGCCTGGAGGAAGAGCTCCCACAGGAGCGGTTCGCTGATCTTCTTGCTGAGGGTGGCAACTTCGTTCTGCTCCAAGATGGGGCCCGCCGCCCATGTTGTGAAATTAAAGAATTTTCCTCGTGTTTTTTGACTGCCAGTTGGTATTCACAGATGCTTAAATTGGTCAGGAGCTTATATTTATTAAAATTAGGGGACTGGAGGCTAAAACATATAAGGAACGGTTGCTAGAATTGGGTATGTTTAACCAAGAGAAGGATGAGGGGGGAGATGATAGCAGTCTTCCAATTTCTCAGGGGCTGCCCCAAAGAAGAGGCAGTCAAGCTATTCTCCAAAGTACCTGAAGGCAGGACAAGAAGCAAAGGATGGAGACTAATCAAGGAGAGAAGCAACCTAGAACTAAGGAGAAACTTCCTGACAGTGAGAACAATGAACCAGTGGAACAACCTGCCTCCAGAAGCGGTGAATGCTCCAACACTGGAAGTTTTTAAGAAGAGACTGGACAGCCATTTGTCCAAAATGATGTAGGGTTTCCTGCCTGAGCAGGGGGTTGGACTAGATGACCTCCAAGGTCCCTTCCAACTTCACTACTATTATTATGAAAAGAGATGTTGACAAGAGAAGGAAAGAGAAGGCTCACCACAGAAACCGGGCTGACCAGCAAGGGCACCTAGCCAGAAACACGAAAAGCCAGATATTCCACCAGGCGTTTTCATCCACCCAGCGTACTGTTTTAATCCCACACCTCCGGGGACACGACTGAAAGGCATTAAGCAAAGTGTCAGTCCACAGCAGAGCCAAAAACCTTTTCTTTTCCGGGCCACTCACCTCGTTCACAATGTAGTCAAGCAATTCAAAAATGGCCATGGCGGGGCGGCTGTCCATCCCGTGACCTGCAGGGTTCGAAAAGAGCAAAGGATGGATGAAAAACTGCATGCGCAGGACACGCCAAGAAACATGCCCTCCCCCCCCCCCTCCAGCAAGGTGTCTATTTTCAAGCGACCACGAGAATATTTCAGGATATCAGGATCCAACACCAACTGAAAATCTGGCTGGTTGGCTTGGAACCGAAAGCACGGGGTCTCCAAACTCTTGGCCAGTGGGCTGCGGAAATGGCTGATCTGTGTGAGCACGTGTGGGTGCGCATCCCCCCCCGTTTGTGCATGTACGCGAACGGGGCCGCTTAGCCCCGGGTGGGCGTGTGCAGCCCATTTGCACATGCACAGAGCCACTAGCGCCAGGCGGGTGTGCACAGCTGTTCGTCCATGCGCATGACATCAGCGCATGCTGCATGTGCAAACGGGGCGGCTAGTGTTGTGCCAGTGCGTGTGGACCTGTTTGCGTGCATGCGCACCAATTTGGAAGCTGCTCTCCTTCCCTCCGGTCCGCGAGCCCAGAAAGGTCGGAGACTTCTGACCTAAAGGATGCACAAAGCATAGCAGCAGGCTCCCGAGATACAGGCCGTCCTCAACTTATGACCACAATGGAGCCTAACATTTCGGTTGTTAAGTGAGACGTGTTAAGTGAGCTTTGCCCTATTTTATGACCTTTCTTACCACCGTGGCTAAGTCAATCGTCGCAGTTGATAAGTTAGTTACCCGGTTGTTTAAGTGAACCTGGCTTGTTTGAAGGTCGCCGAAGGGGGTCCCGTGACCCTGGGACACACCCGTGGTCATAAACGGGAACCAGTCGCCAAGCGTTTGAATTTTGACCATCGGATCGTGAGGATGCTGCAATGGTCATCAACGGACGTTTTTCACTGCCGCTGTAACTTTAAATAGTCACTAAATGAACTGTTGTAAGTCAGGACTACTTGTATGTTCCAGCTTCTACTATGTAGGTTCGGAGTTAATCTGAGAGGGTGGGGGAGTCATGACACAGGGCAGAAGGCTGGGCTGAAACAGCCAGGCCCATTTGTGACCCGCCTTGCCAGCCTTAAATAATGAGCTTGCCTAAAATAAGAACAAAGTTAAGTTTACTGAGACCCACAATATTTGTTTTATATTCACAAGCTCAAAACCTACGGGAAAATTTTTATAAAATGTTTTATAGATGGCACCTTGATCCACAAAAGATGTCTCGTATGGATTCAAATTTGCAACCAAAATGTTGGAGATGTGGTTGTTTGGACGCAACGTATTATCATGGCAAAAATTTCAGCTTATTTGAAAGATCAATCCCAAGAGAATTACCTTTTGGTGTCGAAAAGATGGATAAATTTCATACAGTATAAGTATGATATTAAAAGATATTATTTAGCTTTTGAATAATTTTTGTTTAAAGTTTAAGGGAATAAGTATTTTTTTTATTATATATATATATATATTGGACTTATTATATATATATATATATATTGGATTTTTTAATGTAATTTTTGTTTTAGGTTTACTTAAGTTTAAATGTTTTGTATTTTTAGTTTTTGTTAACCCTGTATTCAGCTCTGGGAAGAGGGGGGGAGGGTTTTGGGGAGGGTTGGGAGGGAGTGGGAGAGGGATTTTATTGTAAAATTGTAAAACTTTTAAAAATAAAAAAAAATATTTGTTTTATATTTATTTATCCCACCGTTCTTATTTTTTTATAAACAACTCAAAAGCGGTGCACATTCCTAATACTCCTACCTCCTCCCATGTTCCCCACAACGACAACCCTGTGAAGTGAGTTGGGCTGAGAGACGACGGGCTCGAAGTCACCCAGCTGGCTTTCATGCCTAAGGCGGGACTAGAACTCACCGTCTCCTGGTGATTGATCCAGAGTCATCCAGCCAGCTTTTGTGTCTAAGGAGGGACTAGAAATCACCGTCTCCTTGTGATTGGCCCAAAGTCACCCAGTGGCTTTCTTGCCTAAGGCAGGACTAGAACTCAGTGCAGGCCATGTTCAACTTTGGCACGGCCAGTCAGCACAACCGTGCCAGCTAGGCATAACGTAGCTACGGTCCAACCTATCTGGAGGGCATCCCCAGATTCTGGGAGTTGAAGTCCACATGCCTTAAAATGGTCAAGGTTGAGAAACACTGAGTTAAATAGTCCTTGACTTACAACCAGCCGTCTGAAGTTACAACGGCAGTGAAAAATTGACCTTAAGACTGTTTTGTCACACTTTATGACCGTTGCAGTATCACCACGGTCAAGTGACCAAAATGCTTGGAAACTGGCATGCATTTACGACGGCTTCAGCGTCCTGTGTGTGTGTGTGTGTGTGTGTGTGTGTGTGTGTGTGTGTGTGTGTCCCGTGATGCCCTCTGGGGACCTTCTGACCAGCAAAGTCAACGGGGGAAAGAAGATTCGCAACCGCCATGTAAACTAACGACAGCGGTGATTTACTTAACCGCTGAGGTAAGGTCGTAAAATGGAGCAAGGCTCACTTAACAGTTGTCTTGCTTAGCCACGGAAAGTTTGGGCTCGGCTGTGGTCGTAAAGTCGAGGACCACCTGCCACTTCTTATTCTTCAAATTTACACTGGATTTCTACAATCGAACGGCCGTCGGTTATTTCCTTGAAATGCGTCATGGGCACAAGTAGTAATAAATCAGCGTTAATTCCTCTGGGGCCGGTCTTTCGCACCCGAGGCTTAGGCATGAGAGCCAGCTGGGTGACTTTGGGCCAATCACCAGGAGATGGTGAGTTCTAGTCACGCCTTAGGCCTGAAAGCCAGCTGGGTGACTTTAAACCAGTCATTCTCTCTCTTCCTACCTCAAGCCGGTTGGCCAATCCCTTTCGTAACCAAATGCTAGGAAGAAGAATTAACCACCGTCCAGCTACGAAGGACTGTGCTTCCTTCCAGCATTAGAAAATAAAATAAAAAAAAAATCAGTGATAATCATTTCAGTTGCCAGCAGCTTTCCAGGGAGTAAGTAGTAGGCTCCTACCGCTGACAGGACGTCCTGGCGGCCTGGGCCGCGGAGAGATGCTGTGGGGTTCCCCCTCGGCCCCATCGACCACGGGGCGGCCAAAAATCACTTCCAGCTCCTTGCCGTCTGGCGGGGGAATGGGATACCGTCCGATTGACAGCTCCACCAGGGAGAGGCCCATGCTCCAGATGTCCGACTGAACGGAATAGTGGGTGCCTTGTAAACGCTCAGGCTGCAAGGAAACCAGAACAGAGGCGGGTGAGGGCCCTTCTTGCGACACACACCTGCCAATGCCAGTGGCTCCTTCGACATCCGGGTACACACCTAGGTGAGAAATTTATGGGAAGCCAGCAGAAAACAGGAAGGCTGAACTGGAAAGAGGCTTTCGCTGTCAGGACAGATACTCAAGTTAATGACCAGAACAGCCCTTCAGGAGCCAGGCCAAGAGCTATAAATAATCTACCTAGAGAACTTTTGTTTGCTGGATCATGTGCAAATAAATAAAAGAAGCAGAAAATAAAGATGCACTTAACAGAGAGCGTAAGGTACCTTCCTTCGCCTCCAGTTGCAAAAAGCTGCCTCGGTGCCACCTTTGCTGTCACAAACGACTGAGAAGTGAAACTACTGACACTTAAGGCTGGAAGTTACTTATGATTTAATTTATAGGGCGCACCAGCTCCTAAATGACTTTGCTTCTGCTTCCTGATGGAAAAACTCAATTTAAAACCATCTATCATCACCCAGACTGGCTGAGGGGGGCAAAGGATCCAGCTGATAGGTTGATTGCTTCCCAGAAAGACAGATTCAGATTAATATGAAAGAGCAACGCGTTTGAACTATACTCTTTCAAGTGCTGCAATAGCTCGATACCGTATCTGCTTTAATACCCGCGGAGTTAGTAATCTAGTTGTTACACAACCTCCCTTGACAAACACACCGGCCCAGCTAGGCGTAGGAAGCACAGACCGCAGAGGTGCGGACAGTCCTGGAGGCCCCTCGGGTTTCACATGTAACACCGCTGCTGTGTGAGTTGAACCGGTTGCCAATTTGGTTGCCAATTTGCTTCCGGGTCCCATTCAAGATGTTGACTGTTATCTTCAAAGCTCCTTATGGCACGGGTTCAAGGAATCTGAGGAGACGTGTCACCCCCAAGGGACTAGCCCGCCCTGCTCACTCCAGCAGAAGAGGTCTACTTTGGATTCTGTTTGCCAAAAGGTTTCAGCTGGCGGGGTCCAGGAGAAGAGTCTTCTCTGCTGTGGCCCCCGCCCTCTGGAATATTCTCCTGCTGAACCTGGCTCTGCTGGCTGGTCTGGGGCCCCAAATGAGGAGAGCGCGATGTTGGGGGCGGCTGAGGGGCTAGAGAGAAGATTCCCACTCTCATGTAACCTGCCCCCGTGGTTTTTAAGTCTCTTATTTACACCTCCTAATTTTAATCGCTTTGCATAATAAATTTTCATCTATTTCTCATACTGTTAAGTCGCCCAGAGTTAGCGTGACAGTGAGGTGGGTGGCACATAAATTTAATATATAAAATGGAACAGGATTCCAACTTATTGTCATCAAGTATTGTGCCTTCACGTCCCATTTCGTTTCCTGCCAAACAAACGAATCATTTGTTCATTTTATGTGCATTAGGTTTGCACTTCGATTTTTGTTCTTTTAACACAGCGGTTCTCAACCTGTGGGTTGGGACCCCATTTGGGGTCAAACGACGATTTCACGGGGGTCGCCAAACCACGCAGTCCGCCATTTTTCCCCCCTTTTCCTTAGCTGTGCTCCTCCCTTTTATTCTCTTGGCTTTTGAAAGCCAATAGAATAGACTCTCTTGAATAGAGTCTAATTCTATTGGCTTTCAAAAGCCAATAGGAATTGTCCAGGCTGTCTCTGCCCTGCTGAGACCGCCAAAAGTCCCCTTCTGCAAACGGTGCTGCACCAGTTGAGTAGTCCTCGACTTACGACCGGTTGAGTAGTCCTCCACTTACGACCAGTTGGGGGGTCGCGGCATTAAAAAGGTTGAGAACCACTGTTTTAACACAACAGAATCGGAAGTCGGCTTCTGTATTTCACGCTTATTGAGAGATCAAACTAGGGCACAGGAGAAGCTTCCTAAACGTCTGCGGAAATTCTTAATCATCCAGGTCATGGTTGTTCCAAGGGTTCCCCCCCCCCCAAAAGGAGCCGTGGTGATGCAATTGTTAAGAGTGCAGTATTGCAGGTTAATTCTGCCCACTGCCTGGAGTTCGATCCTGACATGCTCAAAGTTGACTCAGCCTTCCATTCTTCCGAGGTCAGTAAAATGAAGACCCAGATTTTGGGGGGCCAATAGGCTGACTCTGTAAACCAGTGGTTCTCAACCTGTAGGTCGGGACCCCATTTGGGGTCGAACGACCATTTCACGGGGGTCGCCAAACAATGCAGTCCGCCATTTTTTTCCCCCTTTTCCTTAGCTGTGCTACTCCCTTTTATTCTATTGGCTTTTGAAAGCCAATAGAATAGACTCTCTTGAATAGAGTCTAATTCTATTGGCTTTCAAAAGCCAATAGGAATTGTCCAGGCTGTCTCTGCCCTGCTGAGCCCGCCAAAAGTCCCATTCTGCAAACGGTGCTGCACCAGTTGAGTAGTCCTTGACTTAAGACCGGTTGAGTAGTCCTCGACTTATGACCGGTTGGGGGGGGGGGTCGCGGCATTAAAAAGGTTGAGAACCACTGCTGTAAACTGTTTAGAGAGGGCCGTCTAAGTGCTGTGGCTAAAAGGCAACTGGACTATCTTGGTGTTTTCTTTGCAAATGTTTCATTTCTCAACTAACAAAGTTCTTCAGCACTAACTCTTCTTCTCACTAGCCACAGGAGCCCAGTGGAAGTAACCAAATGGCTCGCCAGTCAAGCATACACACACAAAGACACAAAGTCAGAATTGTAGAGAATTCTCGCTCTGTAGTGCGTGGCTTTCATATCGGGGGTCCCCAACCTGTGGGCCACGACCCACTACTGGGCTGTGGCCTATTCACAACTGGGTCAGCCACATGAGCGGTGGGCCAGCGCACACCCGCACGCTCACAGCCCCAGTTGTGCGAGCGGCATCCCAAAGGCTTCTCTCTTGTGTGAGTGGAGCTATGTGTGCGTGCACACCGGCCCGCCGCTCACCCGGTCCGATTCCCCTCTCCCCTGCTGGTTGGGCCACCAAGCCGCCTGCTCCAGGCAGAGCGGTGAGAGCAGAGGCTGAGTGGGACGAGCACACCCTGACTTGCCGAAGCTGCCTTCACAGAACATATAAGGAACGCTTGCTGGAATTGGGTATGTCTAGTTTAATGAAGAGAAGGACGAGGGGGGACATGATAGCTGTGTTCCAATATCTCAGGGGCTGCCCCAAAGAAGAGGGAGTCAAGCTATTTTCCAAAGCGCCTGAAGGCAGGACAAGAAGCAATGGGTGGAAACTCATCAAGGAGAGAAGCAACCTAGAACTGAGGAGAAACTTCCTGACAGTGAGAACAATTAATCAGTGGAACAACCTGCCTCCAAAAGTTGTGAATGCTCCAACACTGGAAGTTTTTAAGAAGAGACTGGACAGCCATTTGTCCGAAATGGTGTAGGGTTTCCTGACTGAGCAGGGGGTTGGACTTGATGACCTCCAAGGTCCCTTCCAACTTTATCATTATCATTATTATTATGACACCCAATCTGCTTTTGAGATGTTGGTGATTAGGAGACTGTGCCTCCAATGGCACGTCTCTTCTCTGCGCCAAAAGGCTTTGAGGAGCGATCTTGCGCTGCTTTTGTCCCTTTGCAAAAGTTTTTGGCGCGGAGAAGCCAGAAGGAGCCAAGACCGCCCCCCCCCCCAAAGGCTTCTCTTCTCCCTTGCATGTGTGGAGCTGCGCGAGTGTTCTCACGTGGCCCCATTCCCCTCTCCTGCCTCCCCCCCCGAGGCTGGGCTGCCCAGCCGCAAAAGTTGGGGACCACTGGTTTATATGGAATTGTTATATCCGATACAAATGTGTGAGCTTCCTCTACCCCAGATAGGATTAAGTAAAGCCTTGGGGAAGACCTGTTACTGCTGAAAAAAATGAAGGCATTCATAGCTCAAAGGTAGTTGAGGTCAGAAAGAAAAAGATCCAGCTTAAAGGAAGACGCTGTTTAAGGCAGCGCTCCCAACTTTGGGGACTTTAAGATGTGTGAACTTCAACTCTCAGAATTCTGGGAGTTGGAAGTCCTCACATCTTAAAAGTTCCCAAGGTTGGGAAAACACCGGTCTAAGGCAACATACAGTAGTGGCCAAAATTGTGGAAAAGTGTATTTTTGAGGTTTGATGGCTAATAACACCATTTTTTTTGAGAGTAGTACCATAAAATTATATATCAATGGGAAGATAATTTAATCAAGAATGTAATGCAACATAGTTTGTTCAATTATCTGTACTGTATTCTATGAAAAGCTATAGCCAAATAACCAGAAAAAGGAAGCACACCTTGCCTAGGTTGATCTCAGGTAGCTTTCCTTCATCCGATTGTAGCCAATGAGCACAAGTGTTTAGGGAGCCAATCGGGTGTCATCTTGTTTTGGCAATGGGCCAATCAGATCACAGTAGTTATTGATGTCATATACTGAAGCTGAGAGGAGGACATTTGTCAGTGTGTTATGTGATCGCTATCAAGTTGGTTGGGTTTTTTCTTTCTTTCATTGAGTGAGCTTGTAAAATGTAATAAAATTAAAGTCGTGGTGCAAAGAGTTGACTGGTTGCCCAGAAAGTGATGTAAACTAGTATCGTTAAGTGAACAAGGCTACAGTGATAAAGAAATGAGAAGAAAAATGGGTGGAAACTTAACCAAAAGTGGCATTTCTACTGTACACTCGTCCTTAAACATTTCCACAATTTTGGCCACTACTGTAGCTGCAACACAACCGAAAGCATCACGAGAGAGGTAGAAGTTAGGCAATCTTCATTACAACATCCCCACGCCAGTTGTCATATAGTAGCAATCCTTCCCCCACAGGGACAATGTTGTCTTAGCTCCGTTTTTAGAAAGCAAGAAGACGTACAGACATGTAGGATCGGGTCCCCACAAAGGAGTTGGCCATGGAGTCGATGAGCTGCCCGCTGACTCCAAAATCACACAGCTTAATCTCACCCCGGGAATTCACCAAGATGTTAGAAGGCTTCACATCTGGAAACAAGAAATTGTTTAGAGACAAAGAAGGGAGAGAAAAACATAACAAAACACTAAAAAGGACACCCTAAGAAGGAATTCTAGTTGGGAGCTGTTCTGAGTAAAAGCTCTATGGACACCCAACTCCCCCCCCCCCCCATGAAGACAAGAAAGAGTCGGTTAGCCTGCTAAGCCGTGGCCAGAATCTTGGATTAGATCAGTGTTTCTCAACCTTGACAATTTTAAGGCATGTGGACTTCAACTCCCAGAATTCCACAGCCAGCAATGCTGGTTGTGGAATTCTGGGAGTTGAAGTCCACATGCCTTAAAATTGTCAAGGTTGAGAAACACTGGATTAGATCAACATGGCTGGCTGGTGAATTCTGGGAGTTGAAGCCCACATATCTCACAGCTGCTAAGGTTAAAAAACACTGAATTAAGTGGCACAAAATAGTTAAACTATTAATATTAATAAAAGAATAAATAAAGGTAGTCCTCGACTTAACAACCATTTGTTCAGTGACCATTCAAAGTCACAACGACACCGGGGACAAAAAGCATCTTGAAACCGTTTTTTCAAACTGACCACCAATGCGTCATATCCATAGTCAGGTGATCAAAAATTTGGACCTTTGGCAACTGGTTCATATTTATGATGGTTGTTGTCATATTCCGGAGTCACGCGATACCCTTTTGCGACCTCCTGACAAGCAACATCAATGGGGGAAGCCGGATTCACAGAATAACCATGTTACCGACTTAACGGTGGCAGTGATTCACGTAACAGCTGTGCCAAGAAAGATCATAAAAGGGATCAAAGCAAAACTGTCTCGATTAGCAATAGAAATTTTGGGCTCAACTGTGGTCATAAATCGAGGACTGCCTGTATTCTCAGTGGCTATCCTGTGGGCCCAATGAACCTGTGACTTCGGGCTGATTTCATGTAGGCAACCTTGCTCTTTTATGACGCGTGGACTTCAACTCCCAGAATTCCTGAGCCAGCATGGCTCAGCTTGGAAACCTCTCCCTTTCCCCTCAGCATGGCTGGCTGAGGAATTCTGGGAGTTCAAGTCCACGAGTCATGAAGGGGCCATAGTTTCCCCATGCTGGCTCAGGAATTCTGGGAGTTGAAGTCCACAAGTCACAAAAGAGCCAAGGTGGCCTACCTCCGGTCTAGGTGTATCTGTCGTCTGTCTGTCTGTCTGTCTGTCTGTCTGTCTGTCTGTCTGTCTATCTATCTATCTATCTATCTATCTACCAACCATCTAGGCCGGGGTAGGCAACCTTGGCTTTTATGACTTGTGGACTTCCCAGAATTCCTGAGCCAGCATGGGGGAACTACAGCCCCTTCATGACTCGTGGATTTCAACTCCCAGAATTCCTGAGCCAGCATGGCTCAGCTTGGAAACCTCTCCTTTTCCCCTCAGCGTGGCTGGCTGAGGAATTCTGGGAGTTGAAGTCCACGAGTCATGAAGGGGCCGTAGTTTCCCCATGCTGGCTCAGGAATTCTGGGAGTTGAAGTCCACGCATCATAAAAGAGCCAAGGTTGCCTACCCCTGAATTGTAGGCCAAGATGTTGTGCGCCCCTGGTCACCTTCAGAGACCACCTTGCAATCCCTTCCCCTGCGTGTATGCAGGGGGATGTAGCTGCACAAAGACAGGAAGACCTGAGCAGTTCCGTAAATTCCACCCACGCCTGGCAGGATCCCCCCAAACTCTTCTGAGACTCAGGAAACCCACAATGGAAATGACCCCCTGCCCAAATTCTCCTCCCCTTGAGGGGCCCTTGGTGCTCTCTGGGCTTGCTTGTTTTCTCGCAGACGTTCCGTTACGCTAATGTTACCCTAGGTAACATCATCGGTGCTAGTAATTTCACAACGTATAGACCGATGTAGCCATAGTTTCAATGGGGAAAATATGACCAACCTAGACCAGGCCAAGTCCAAGAATGCCAGGGAATTTCTAGAAGCCTGGCCCTCTGACCAGTCAGCCATCAACGGACACAGAGGCATTAACCATATCTATTGTTGTTGTTGGTTGCGAAGTCGTGTCCGACCCCTCGCGACCCCATGGACATCACGTTCCTCCAGGCCTTCCTGTCCTCTATACCATCTTCTGGAGTCCATTGAAGTTCACGCCTCCTGCTTCAGTGACTCCATCCAGCCACCTCCTTCTCTGTCGTCCCCTTCTTCTCTTGCCCTCCATCTTTCCCAGCATTAGGCCCTTCTCCAGTGAATCCTTCCTTCTCATTGGGTGGCCAAAGGACTTGAGTTTCAACTTCAGGATCTGGCCTTCTAAAGAGCAGTCGGGGTTGATCTCCTCCAGGACTGACCGGTTTGATCGCCTTGCAGTCTAGGGGACCCGCAGGAGTCTTCTCCAGCACCAGAGTTCAAAGGCCTCCATTCTTTGGCGCTCAGCCTTTCTTACGGTCCAACTGTCACAGCCATACATCGCAACTGGGAAAACCGGGGCCTTGACTATATGTACTTTTGTTGGCAGGGTGATGTATGCTAACAAGATCTATAGATTATGCAAAAGAGGCAATGAAATAGCCCAAAGGAGAAAAAGACTCCAGCACCTCTCCCCCAGAAATCAGCACCCAGATTAGCATAGATCAGTGGTTCTCAACCTGTGGGTCGGGACCCCATTTGGGGTCGAACGACCATTTCACGGGGGTCGCCAAACAACGCAGTCCGCCATTTTTTTCCCTTTTCCTTAGCTGTGCTACTCCCTTTTATTCTATTGGCTTTTGAAAGCCAATAGAATAGACTCTCTTGAATAGAGTCTAATTCTATTGGCTTTCAAAAACCAATAGGAATTGTCCAGGCTGTCTCTGCCCTGCTGAGCCCGCCAAAAGTCCCATTATGCCAACGGTGCTGCACTAGTTGAGTAGTCCTCGACTTACGACCGGTTGGGGGTCGCGGCATTAAAAAGGTTGAGAACCACTGGCATAGATTAACTCCAAGGTCACCTTCAGACCAGCCATCAAATAAGCAAGACCCCAATCAAGAAAGGGCCAAAGAGCCCTTAGTAAACAGCCCAACCAAAGAATTCCTAAGACCTCCTCCACCCACCCAGACAGGCAAGACACCAGAGTATAAGCGGACAGCAAACAGCACTCCTTACTAGCACTGAAGATGTTCCCTAGTTGGGTCATGAGACGTCTGCAAGAAAACAAGCAAGCTCAGAGAGCACCCAGGACCCTTCATTTCAACCCTGGGCTATAAATATTCTCCTTCGTTGGTCTCCTTTCGTTGGTGGAAAGCAACACTTGGAAGTCTTAAAACTGCAAGTGATGAATTTCAGAACTGTGAAGGGCTTTTCTTAATAAGCAGCTTTTCTTTTCTTTTTTTTCTCAGCTCCAAGATGAACACAAAGGTGACAGAAGAGGCTGCCCTCAAGAGGCAAGGGTCTGTATAAGCGTCGTGCAATATAGAACACAACAACACAATTGGCAGATTTCGGCGACCCTGACAAGCTTGCAAACATCCGCAAACTGGGCAGGGTGCCGTACAGCCACAATATAGGCAATGCTCCTGGTTAAACAATGTGTAGAATTAAGCCTTGGAATGAGAATGATGTCCAGCAGATCTACACAACCCCAGTTCACTTACAGGTGCAGACTCCTTCTATTACAAACAACTCTCACCTCGGTGCATAATTTGGTGCTTCTCTCGTAAATAAGCCAATCCTCGCAGAACCTGAAAAGAAGAAGAGAAGAGAAGAGAAGAGAAGAGAAGAGAGGAAAGGCGGGGGGGGGGGGGAGAGGAGAAAAGAGAAAAGAGGAGAGAAATCAAGATTTGTGAGATGGAGCTTAATTGAGCTGTGGTGGCACAGTGGCTAGAATGCAGTATTGCCGGCTAATTCTGCTGACTACCAACAGTTCGATCCCGACTGGCTCAAGGTTGACTCAGCCTTCCACCCTTCTGAGGTGGATAAAATGAGGACCCAGATTGTTGGGGGGCAAATAGGCTGACTCTGTAAACTGCTTAGAGAGGGCTCTATATAAGTCTTAAGTGCTGGTGCTAATGCTATTTTATAGATGGGAAGCTAAAAAAAATAAAGACTCATACATATGTGTGACAGAACTCTTGATTAAAGGGACAATTCGCTGCTCAGACCCCTTGGAGGAGGATATGGATGAAACTCTGTCTCACAAACCCTTGTTTGGGGGAGTCAAAAGGAGGCAGTTGCATACTCACTGCTATGCTGACTTTGCCCAAGATTTCTTCAGGAATCCTCTTGGCTTCTTTCAAAACCTGATCCAAGGAACCTCCATCCTAAAACCAGTGGAAAGGTAATGATGTTTATTTATTCACTGGATTTTTATCCTGCCTTTATTACTTCATAAGTTACTCAAGGTGGAGAACATAGATACTCCTGCCTGCTCCTATTGTCCCCACAACAACCCTGTGAGGTGAGTTGGGCTAAGAGAAAGCAAGGGGCCAAAGTCACCCAACTGTCTTTCATGCCTAAAGTGGGACTATAACTCACTGTCTTCTGGTGACAGGCCTGAAGTCACCCAGCCAGGTTTCATGCCTAACACGGTACTAGAACTCACCATCTCCTGGTGATTGGTTTAAAGTCACCTAGCCGGCTTTCATGGCTAAAGTGGGACTAGAACTCACCATCTCCTGGTGATTGGCCCAAAGTCAGCCAGCCTGCTTTCAGGTTTAAGGTGGGACTAGAACTTCCAGTCTCCTGGTTTTCCAGCAGCAGCCTACATTATCTTAAAATTTAGAATTAGAAAACACCCCAGCCAACCAAATGAATAATGAGAAACCAGATTTAAGGAAGAAATGGCACAAAGAATATCTTACAATCTCTTGAAAGATACAAGGTACATAAAGTTTCAACACCATGCCTGAAATTAGACAAAGAAGGGACAGGCTACCTTCAAGGAGCGTTCTGCAAACGAGGTGTTGTTAAGAGAAGACACAACCCCAACCTTGCCACAACCAACTCTTAATAACAGATTCTACAGAAAAGTTGATTGACAGAGCTGATGATTCTCAACAGCTCCAATTCACACAGCCAGGAAGCAAAATATTAAACACTTTGTTGTTACCATTCTCCATCTGCTTTAATCAGCTATAATTCTGGAAGACTAACGAAGCAGGTTCTCCTTTTTAAAAATCTATTTATCAAATTTATATAGCCGCCCATCGCATAAAAAGCGAGATTTTTCTTGAAGATTCTTAGTATATTTTTGTAACTCAAGATACCTTCCTCTTTGACAGAACATACTAGCTCTGGGTTACTTGAGACAATATATGGCTTGGCTAAGGCACCTCATTCACTAGAGAAAGCAATTATGTTTGGAAAAGATTAGCGATAAAAGAAAACCAGGCCATCAAAGAACACGGTGGCTGACACCAGCCAGACCACAGAAAAACTCAAAGGAGTAGTGCAAAACCAGATGTGGGGGAGGCCTGGCCCACAGAATTGCCAAGAGCCGGATACGACTGGCTATCTTCATCATCATGGCACCCCATAAACCTATGCAGCATATCTGCTGTTATTTTTACCACAGAAAGTTGAAATCTCTGCAGAACACACGGAAAATATTCTGTCCAGAAAGGGCAGAAGCTGCAATGCTGTAGCCAATCCCAATCCTGGCTTCTCTACCGATGCCATGGTCGGGCTGGAACGGGATCATGGAAGGCTCGTGTTCGAGTCCTCACATGACCCCACTGGCTTCCGTTATCTGTCACCCGCGATCAATCTCACAGGATGGTTGCTAGGAGAGCAAAAGGGATGAGGGAGTATTACGTGCATCACCTTGACCCACTGGGATGCAAGATGAACACACAAGCTAACAGCTGAATTTAGCAAGGCGAGGAGAACGTTCAAGACCAAACTACGGAAGGACCTGGTAGAAGACAAGCTGAAAGGAAGATGAATACCCGTCATATTTCTGCGACAAACTGATTTAATCAGATAAAACCTTCTCCTCCTCCTCCAACATTACCACAGGGTTATCCCATTTTTATGATTTACATACTATAGCGGCTTTAATATAATAATAATAACAACAACAACAAAACAACAACAACAATAATGATGATGATAAAGTTGGAAGGGGGCTTGGAGGTCATCTAGTCTAACCTCCTGCTCAGGCAGGAACCCTATACCATTTCAGACAAATGGCCGTCCAATCTCTTCTTAAAAACTTCCAGTGTTGGAGCATTCACCGCCTCTGGAGGCAGGTAGTTCCACTGGTTAATTGTTCTGACTGTCAGGAAGTTTCTCCTTGGTTCTAGGTTGCTTCTCTCTTTGGTTAGTTTCCATCCGTTGCTTCTTGTTCTGCCTTCAGGCGCTTTGGAGAATAGCTTGACTCCCTCTTTTTTGGGGCAACCCCTGAGATATTGGAACATTGCTATCATGTCCCCCCTTAATCCTTCTCTTCATTAGACTAGACACACCCAATTCCAGCAACCATTCCTTATATGTTTTAGCCTCCAGTCCCCTGATCCTCTTTGTTGCTCTTCTCTGTACTCTTTTTAGAGTTTCAGCATCTTTTTTTACATCGTGGTGACCAAAATTGGATGCAGTATTCCAAGTGTGTGGCCTTACCAAGGCCTTGTAAAGTGGTATTAATACTTCACGTGATCTTGATTCTATCCCTCTGTTAATGCAGCCTAGCACTGTGTTGGCTTTTTTGGCAGCTGCAGCACACGGCTGGCTCATATTTAAATGATTGTCCACTAGGACTCCGAGAAAGGTGGGATCCTCGTTATAAGAAACTTAAAATACAGCAAAAGGAGAAAGGACAGAAGAGGGAGAAGGGAATGTGGAAGGACAGTTAAAACAGGGAAATTCAATTCATTTATATGGTGTATCTATGCTTAGACCTGTGACACAGGTAGCCCTTGACTTAAGTAGGGTGAAAATTACAACAGATTCCCCTCCCCCCAAAGCTACTTATAACCGTACAACCAAAGATCCAGCAGCCCCTTTGGTCACGTGACTGCATTTCGGACACCTGGCAACCAGTCCACATTTTATGGCCGTTTGTAGTGTCCTGCAGTCCCATGACTGCAAGTTATGATTTATTTTTATTTTTTGGCAAAAACTGACATTTACAGGTAGTCCTCAACACGCAATTTCTGTTGCTAACTAAGACGTTGGTGAAGTGACTTTTGCCCCGGGTTGCAATCTTTCTTGTCACAGATGTTAAGTGAATCACTGTGAACTCATCAAATATGCGAATGACAACAAGCTGGCAGGAATAGCCAACACTCCAGAAGACAGGCTTAAGATACAGGAGGACCTGGACAGACTTGAACACTGGGCGCTATCTAACAAAATGAAATTCAATGGTGAAAAAAGTAAGGTTCTACATTTAGGCAAGAAAAACCAGATGTACAGGTATAGTATAGGGGGAACCTTGCTCAATAGTAGCAACTGTGAGCGGGACCTCGGAGTCCTAGTGGACAATCATTTAAATATGAGCCAGCCGTGTGCTGCAGCTGCCAAAAAAGCCAACACAGTGCTGGGCTGCATTAACAGAGGGATAGAATCGAAATCACGTGAAGTATTAAAATCACTTTACAAGGCCTTGGTAAGGCCACACTGGGAATCCTGCATCCAGTTTTGGTCACCACGATGTAAAAAAGATGCTGAGACTCTAGAAAGAGTACAGAGAAGAGCAACAAAGATGATTAAGGGACTGGAGGCTAAAACATATAAGGAACGGTTGCTGGAATTGGGTCTGTCTAGTTTAACGAAGAGAAGGACGAGGGGGGACATGAGAGCAGTGTTCCAGTATCTCAGGGGCTGCCCCAAAGAAGAGGGAGCCAAGCTATTTTCCAAAGCACCTGAAGGCAGGACAAGAAGCAACGGATGGAAACTAAATCAAGGAGAAAAGCAACCTAGAACTAAGGAGAAACTTCCTGACAGTGAGAACAATTAACCAGTGGAACAACCTGCCTCCAGAAGCGGTGAATGCTCCAACACTGGAAGTTTTTAAGAAGAAACTGGACAGCCATTTGTCCGAAATGGTATAGGGTTTCCTGCCTGAGCAAGGGGTTGGACTTGATGACCTCCAAAGTCCCTCCCAACATTATTATTATTATTATTACCATTGTTAAAAGTTCGTAACGTGGCTCTTAAGTGAACCTGGCTTCCTCCAATGACTTTCTTTGTCAGAAGGTCGCAAAAGAAGATCACGTGAATCTGGGACGCTGCAAACTGTCATCAATATGAGTCAGTCGCCAAGCGTTTGAATTTTGATTGTGTGACCAGGGTCGTTAAGGTGTGAAAAATGATCATAAGTCATTTTTTGCAGTGGCAATGTAACTCTGAACGGCCACTAAGCAAACTATTGTTAAGCTGAGGACTTCCGGTTGTCTGCAAAAATGCCCCACAACAATGAGTTCACTTTTGCTAAATGACCATTGTAAACCAAGTAGCAAAATCAGGCCAATTGCATTGGTGACCTGCTTTATAACCATCCTGACTGATTTATTTTTTCATAATTTTGAACCCCCATGCACTTCAGATGTAACAATAAAACGGGCGATGTACAGTCAAACGTTATCTATATGGACTCATGACCACAGTGGGAAGGCTCCATTACGGTTATAAGTTGAGGACTGCCTGTATGTGCCAGTTTGGTCTAGTCTAGTGTTTACAGGACCAGGCTAGAAAATAGGAGACGAGGAGGTCTAATCCTGCTTTAGCCACGAAAGCCGGCTGGATAACTTTGGTCTGTCCCTCTCTCCCAGTCCAATCCACCTCGCAGGGTTGATGGTTGTGGGGAAAATATGAGGAGGAGGATGTGTTGGAGGTGCCCACTGCCTTGAATTACTTGTAAAAATAAAAAAAATAATAAAAGTGGGGTATGAATGAATGAATGAATTTGCCATTAGGCATCCCTTTATATAGCATTATCTAAGGCAGTGGTTCTCAACCTTTTTAATGCCGCGACCCCAACCGGTCGTAAGTCAAGGACTACTCAACTGGTCGTAAGTCGAGGACTGCTCAACTGGTGCAGCACCGTTTGCAGAATGGGACTTTTGGCGGGCTCAGCAGGGCAGAGACAGCCTGGACAATTCCTATTGGCTTTGGAAAGCCAGTAGAATTAGACTCTATTCAAGAGAGTCTCTTCTATTGGCTTTCAAAAGCCAATAGAATAAAAGGGAGGAGCACAGCTAAAGAAAAGGGGAGTTGTTTGGCGACCCCTGTGAAATGGTCATTCGACCCCAAATGGGGTCCCCACCCACAGGTTGAGAACCACTGATCTAAGACAAGCTTTCTGGGTCGGTGGCCCAGGGCGGGGGGTGGGTGGGTGTAGGCACTTTTATGTATGCATAAACAGACCATGACTGTGTGCGCAAAACAAACGGGCCCACGAGTGCCTGTGTGATGCTCAGGCAACGCTAGCACCCACCTGATGCTGTGATGTAGCACAAGTGGGGGGAATGTGTGCTTGCCATGATGCTAGTGTGGGTGGGGGGGGTGTGCTCGTGGCAATGCTAGTGCTAGTGCGAGTGGGGGCGTGTGCAAACACACATGCGCGTGTGCACTAGCCAGCCACACACGCAACCCAGTGGCCAACAGCTCCACGGCCTGGTAGAGGGCTGGGGCCCATAAGGCTGGGGACCCCGATTTAAGGTCCGCTTCCAATCCCCCACGTTCATCATAAAGGCCAGTTCTTCCCAGTCCTTTGTCATGAAAATTGCTTTTCAGTCGTTTACTCTGTCCAAGCCACACGCAGGACAATCTCTCTTTCGCCGCACAAATACGGAAGGAGTGTCAAGAGGTTAAAATCTTTCCCCAGAGCGACATTCAGATGGTCAGGATTTGAATGCCAGCTTCTAGGAGGAGAATTAAAGAGCTCCCCAGAGAGGGACCCCCAGAAATTGTCTCGAGACACAGGAAGTGTCATTTTTGGGCATCTTAAAAGAAAATGGCAAGGCTGCCTACAGTTGGGTCCTCCTCGTCGTAATGTACAGGGAGTCCTCAAATTGCGACAGTTTTTTTTTGGGGGGGTGACCATTCAAAGTTGCAACAGCACTGAAAAAAAGGGACCGATGGCCATTTTTCACATGCCCCATGGTCACGGGATCAAAATTCAGAAGCTTGGCAGCTGACTTGTATTTATGACAGTTGCAGCCAAGTCCATGGGGAAGCTAGATTCACGTCACAACCGGGTTCGATGTCAGACCCCCAAAACTCCTTGCCCGTTCCCTTTGGTCTTCTATTCCAGGGATTTTCAACCAGTGATACGGGTACCACCTGTGGTACATGGGCACCTGGCAGGTGGTACGCGACCATCCTAGAAAAGGGGTAGTGGGGGAGGGGAATGAGCTGAGCCGGTGGCAGCACCGCACAAGCCTGAGCGAGAGACGGCTGGAGCTGCAGGGCTGTCAGGGCTCAGCGGAAGCGCCAGGCTCAGCGCCAGGCTCCAGCTGGAGCTCAGCGCTGATCCTGGCGCTTCTGCTGAGCCCTGAAGAAGCACCAATCAGCTGGAAAGCAGCACTGATCCTGGGGCTTCTGCTGAGCCCTGAAGAAGTGCCGATCAGCTGGAATGTTGCAGCCTCTCCAGGATCTTGTGATTTACATTCAGATGCTTGGCAACGGATTCATATTTATGATGGTCACAGTGTCCCAGGGTCATGTGAAGTGACCAAAACCCGCTGCAACCACCCAGCAGACGGTGGGAATAAAAACCAAACACCCCTCCACCCCACCCCCTCTGCCAATCCTCAACAGAAATGATCACAACAATGAAAACCTCGGACAGGAGGAAGAGCGCCGCCAGGCGGGCAAGCAGGTGTCTTGCTTGGCTGTGCCTTGGGGGGCACTTTTTTCAGTGCCGTTGTAATTTTGAACAGTCACGAAGCAAACTGTTGTAAGTCGAGGACTACCTGTACTTTATCACTTTTTTCTTTTTTTTTTTTTTTTTTGGTCATCAAGTTTTTGACACCTTGCTAGGCGACTGGTGGTACTCGGATGTTGCCATATCCTAAAAGTGGTACAATGGGTGAAAAGGTTGAAAAAGAGCCGAGGTGGCGCAGCAGTTAGAGTGCAGTACTGCAGGCCACTTTAGCTGACTGTGTTCAGCAGGTCAGCGGTTCAAATCTCACCGGCTCAAGGTTGACTCAGCCTTCCATCCTTCCGAGGTAGGTAAAATGAGGACCCAGATTGTTGGGGGCAATGTAATATATATATATATATATATATATATATATATATATATATATATATATATATGTATGTATGTATGTAGGTCTTTGGTTGTTCGGGTTTTCTCCCGCGTAAAATTGGAGGTGTCTTGGCAACGTTTCGACGAAGTCCCATTCGTCATCTTCAGGCTGGTGTTTTCAGCTTCGTACTTCAAGCAGCAAATTGCTGCTCGAAGTACGAAGCTGAAAACACCAGCCTGAAGATGACGAATGGGACTTCGTCGAAACGTCGCCAAGACACCTCCAATTTTACGCGGGAGAAAACCCGAACAACCAAAGACCTACATACAAACACCCGCGAAAACCTCAGAAAACACACACACACACACACACACACACACCATATATATATATATATATATATATATATATATATATATACACATACATACATACATACATACATACATACATACATACATACATACACACACACACACACACACACACACACACACACACACACTGCTTACTGGTGTACACCGCTTAGAGTGCTTGCACTTAAAGCAGTATATAAGTCTCATAAATAAATAAATAAAGCCCTGTTCTATTCTTTTGGGGCCTGCCATTCTGCTGGGGGGGAGGGGTTGCATGGGGGATTATGTTGCTAACTTTCGCTTTCCCCTTTCTTTGTCTGGCCTCTTCCCTTTGAGCGTGGAGTGCAGCTCCTTATCTAGGAGACAGCTGCAAGGAAACGAAAGCTGGAGGAGACCTTGAGATGCCCGCCCAGCGTGCCAGTCAGCCGCCCACCGAGCCACCTGTGGATTGGCTGGAGTTCAAAGGGGCATGATGACTTGAGTGGGTGGGGCCATGTTGCCTGCTTTAATTATTATCATTCTTCAGATCTCGCCTTCCACCCCCTGCTGTCGCTCGCCCCTAATAAAAGTTTCCTTCTGAGCCAATGCCTGTTTCAAGAGTTCTGCTGTCTCGGGCGGTTAGTTGGAAGTGGGCCCCGACGTTACTAAGCCAACAAACCGAAACCGATTCACTTCACAAATGCGGCAAGGTCGTAAAATGGGGCAAAAAAATTCACTTCGCAAACGTTTCGCTTCACAGCGGACAATGTTGGGCTCAATTTTGGCCGTTAAGCTGAGGACTACACCCTGCATTTGGGTGGCTTTGCTTTTGAAAAGGTAAAAACTCCACTTTTTTTTATAATTGCGTCAACAGATGGCAGCATCGCCTCGGTGCTGCAAGCAAAGGATGGCGGAGAGAGGACATGTTCGTTCTCCGTTGGGTGGATTCCTTGCTCAGAGATCCCGGTCTCGCCAAGTCAGTTCAGATCAACCTGCTCTTTCTCGATCCTCTGAAGCAAACATTTAGCCCGTTTCTCAAAATCCCTGGTCAAGGCAGCCATCCAGACGGACTCGCATGTGCTGGGCAGCCCTCGGCTCACGACCACAAGGGAGCCCAAAATTTCCGTCGCTAAGCAAGACAGCGGTTCGGTGAGCTTCGCCCCCATTTTATGACCCTGCCTGCCACGACTGTTAAGTGAGTCACTGCAGTGGTTAAGCTGGTAACACGGCCGTTAAGTGAATACGGCTTGGCTTGTCAGAAAGGGGATCCCATGACCCGGGGGGGGGGGGAGGTGTGGTCAGTGCAACCGTCGTAAATATGAACCAGTTGCCAAGTGTCTGAATTTTGACGTTGTGACCGTGAGGGGGCTTACTGCAACGGTTGTGTGAAAAACAAGTCATTTTTTTTTCAGCGCTGTTATGACTTTCAATGGCCACTAAATGAAGGGTTGTAAGTCAAGGACTGCCTGCACTTCGTGTGCCTTTTCCTGTTATAATATTCAGGCTGACTGACACCCAGATTATGGTCCAAGGGCAGAAAGCTGTTGTCTTCCAAGCTAATAGAACAGAGGAACGAAGAGACTCTACCACTGCAGATTCCTTTTAAGGTGCTGGCCTAGGCGGCTGTGAGTTATAGTCCTTAGGCATGAAAAACCAGCTGGGTGACTTTGAGCCAGTCCCCTCCTCCCTCCCTCCCTCCCTCTCTCTCAGCCCAACCCACCTCACAAGATTGTTGTGGAGAGAATAGGAAGAAGGGAGGAATACAATATTAGACATGTTCCCTGCCTTGAGTTATTTATAGACAGTAATAAAGGCAGGATCAAAATCAAATAAGCACGTACACACATTCCTTTATACAAACACACACATACACACATTTTAAGGGAATAAATACCATCTTGGCTGGCACCTCAGTGCATCCCACTTGACCGCTAATATTTTCCAAAGAAGGAAACAATTAAGCAGCCATCGGCATTCTCAAATAAGCTGCACTGGCTATCTCTGTAATATCCAGTATCACGATTAAGCAAATATAACGGGAAGGCTTAACAAACCATGGTATCTCAGCCCGTGGTCTGCTTGCTTTCATGTTACATCGGGAGTGGAATTCTGGCTCATTCTCCCGATATAATGCCAGTGTCTGAAACAATTTGGTAGCAAGACCGGGGCGATTAGCCAATCCCCATAAACCAAGAATTTTCCTCCTGCTGTGGAAGAAAGTGGATCGTTATTAGTAACAGAGACCTGCACTTTAAGCTGATGCCAAACAAAGCAGAAAAGAAACATTTTAGAATAATCAAAGCTCGGTAAGCGCCATTAAAAACCTTTCATGCTGACTAAGACACCTGTCCCGTTCTGCACGGGGAATGTGCCCTCACCATATGCTCCATGCAAATGCTGATCTCCCCGTCGCTGTAGAAGGCGCCGTAGAAACCAACAATGTACGGAGAGTTGCACTCGTGGAGCACCTGGAGCTCCCGGATTATCTGGTTTCGTATGGCAGGCTTGATCTCCAAGTGAATCAGCTGTTGGCGGAAACAGGAGAGAGACATCAAAGGATGAAGGCAGTGCAGAACAACCCCCAAAGCAATTGTACCTCGATCCCAAAGGTGCTTTTTCAAGAGGCAACTGCACTTTCTTGCTTTTGTTTGAAGACGTTTCGCTTCTCATCCAAGAAGCTTCTTCAGCTCTGACTGGATGGTGGGGGAATGGAAGGATTTATACTCCTTGAAGACAGCTGGTCATTTGCCTCCTTTTAGAGCAGTGGTTCTCAACCTTTTTAATGCCGCGACCCCCAACCGGTCGTAAGTCGAGGACTACTCAACCGGTCGTAAGTCGAGGACTGCTCAACTGGTGCAGCACCGTTTGCAGAATGGGACTTTTGGCGGGCTCAGCAGGGCAGAGACAGCCTGGACAATTCCGATTGGCTTTTGAAAGCCAATAGAATTAGACTCTGTTCAAGAGAGTCTATTCTATTGGCTTTCCAAAGCCAATAGAATAAAAGGGAGTAGCACAGCTATGGAAAAGGGGAAAAAAATGGCGGACTGCGTTGTTTGGCGACCCCCATGAAATGGTCGTTCGACCCCAAATGGGGTCCCGACCCACAGGTTGAGACCCACTGTTTTAGAGAGTCATTGAGGCCACCTTTGAGGTCCTTTCAGCAGTTCCAAGAAGGCTCCACACCCATTTGCACCACTCAGGAGACCCTGAGGAAACAGATAAACCTCCAGGTGACTTCAATGACTCTCTAAAAAGGAGGCAAATGACCAGCTGTCTGCAAGGAGTATAAATCCCAACATCCAGTCAGAGCTGAAGAAGCTTCTTGGATGAGAAGGGAAACATCTTCAAACAAAGACAAGAAAGTCCAGTTGCCTTGTGAAAAAGCATCTTTGGTATAGAGAGACTATGACTCATTGGGTCATCCTTTATCAATATTCATTTACCTAAAGCAGGGGTGGGCAACCTTGGCTCTTTTATGACTCGTGGACTTCAACTCCCAGAATTCCTGAGCCAGCCGTGCTGAGGGGAAAGGGAGAGGTTTCCAAGCTGAGCCGTGCTGGCTCAGGAATTCTGGGAGTTGAAGACCACGAGTCACCAAAGAGCCAAGGTTGCCTACCCCTGACCTAAGGAGATCAACAGAATGACTCAGGGCAAGCAAAAATGCAGTGGGAACAGGAACAACCTCTGACTTCCCCATTGACTATGCATGAGGGAAGGTGGCAGGGAATGTTGGAGATCACAATCAGGTGGAGTGCAGCTGACCGAGGCGGCACTGCAGTGGCAACAAGTTTGTGAGTGCAACTGGTCTGGAGATCCTTGAAATTTCAATTCCATAGAGTTTTGTACATATTCTTTAAGTTAATACACTTCAGGTACCTTGATTCAAAAATTGTTGCCATATTATGCACCGTTTGGCTAGAATAATCAGTGTTTCTCAACCTTGACCATTTTAAGGCATGTGGACTTCAACTCCCAGAATTCCACAGCCAGCAATGCTGGCTGTGGAATTCTGGGAGTTGAAGTCCACATGCCGTAAAATGGTCAAGGTTGAGAAGCACTGAGCTATATGAAGGTTACAACCGGACAAAACTATTTTAATGGTGTACAGATGACAGCCGGGCAAAGTATGGATAGACTGCAAGATTTGGCATTCTCTACTTGCACAACAAGAAAAAACTACTTGTGATTTTTAACATAGGTTTATTTGAATCTCTACTGGAATTCTAAAACACTGATATTGATTCAATGTTTCTTTTTGCATTTTTTTTCCAGCTTGCTTAAAGAATTAAAAAAAAAAAAGAATCTTCCATTTTGTTAACATTACAAAATTTAAAAGATCAGACAATACAACCCCTCAGAATCTGACTGCTTCCTGAAAGTCATGTTTGCAACTGAGAAAGTCATTTGCAATTTAAACAGAATTTAATGTTCCAGTGACCGTCAGGGCAATTTCTATTAATTATAAGTAACATATTTACTTATAACTTATAATTTCTTTTCATTTTTATAGTGTTTTCATTTCTTTAATCTGTTGTACTTGAGCCGTTGTCCATACATTGAGGCAGGTCACCAAATAGTGAAATAAATAAATAACACACACCCCTTTAAAATCCTAGAAACAGGAATATATGCAAGACGCAAAAGATGCAGGGTTAGAAATACGGTTTTGCAATACACAATTCATGCACAGAAGAGACCAGGTTGTATTGTGTTATGATTGCACATTCAACCATGAGATGTGCTTCTGGCCCTTTTAAAAGCTACTGGCAGACACCCTTGCTCAATAACCGAGAGCTATGGGACTGCAATTACAGTTCTATATTTGCTAATGATTCTGCATCCAGGAAGGCAAGCAGTCTAACCTACTTAGCAGTGCAAAAAAAAAAAAAAAAAAGCAGCAGCAGCAGAAGAAAAGTGGGAAGTAAGCAGTCACCATAGGAACGCTTCCAAGGCTCAGGAATGGAACGCTGAAACCAATTATGGAAGACTATGCCCAGAAGAGTTCAAGCCTTATGTTGCGCAAATGTTCTTTCCATAACCAGAGATATCATTTTCCAAAGGAGGGCAAACTTATTAGCCACCCAACCCGCTATTGTATCTTCCATAGGGAAAAGGTACAACAGACATGTCAAACCCAAGGCCCGGGGGCCGGATGCGGCCCGCAAAGTGGTTTCATGTGGCCCGTGAAGCCATCCTGGATACAGGGAGGGCACGGCCTCCGCTGCCTTGGCCCTGGCCCAGGCCGGCTGGCAGCCAATGTACACTTTTGTGGTGGCCATCTGTGCTGAAACGCATTCAGTCTTAGCTCCATGAGCCGCCCCCCCTGCATGGCCTGAGAGGAACAGTGAGGCTCCTCCAGTGGACCATGCCTTGGCGCTTGCCCCGGTCTTTCCCCCTTCTCCAGAGACCCTCAGATCTGTCCCACTCCTGCCCAGGCCCCCACAGGCACTCTTGACGCGAATGATGTAGAACTGGCCACACCCACCCAGTGGGCCACACCCACTCCATCCACACCCACCCGGTAGGCCACACCCACCCTGGCCACACCCATCCAGCCTCCTGAGGGCAACCACAATGCTGATGCGGCCCTCAATGAAATTGAGTTTGACACCCCTGAGGTACAAGATATACCGTATATTCTGGCGTATGACTTTTGAGAGCGTTGAAACAGGCGCCGAACTCGGGGGTCGTCTTATACGTCGAGTCGTCTTATACGCCGGAAATAAGGTAGTTTCCGGCGTATAAGACCACTTTCTAGGCATGCGACTTGGCATCGATTGTCTTATATGCCAGAAATAAGGTAGTTTCTGGCATATAAGATGACTTTCTAGGCATGTGACTCGGCGTCGAACTCGGGAGTCGTCTTATACGCCAGGTCGCCCTATACGCCAGAATATACAGTACCCTGGCACACTGCAACTATCATAAATATGATAGTTATGGATGTCTACCGAGATTCTGCATCATCCAGGTCCTGGTGGTCCCAAAGATGCTTTTTCAGGAGGCAACTAGACTTTCTTGTTTTTCTTTGAAGACGTTTCGCTTCTCATCCAAGAAGCTTCTTCGGTTCTGACTGGATGGTGGGGAAGGGAAGGATTGATACTCCTTGCAGACAGCCGATCATTTGCATCCTTTTGGAGAGTTGTTGAGGCCACTAGGTTTATCTGGGTCCTCAGGGTCACCGGAGTGGTGCAAACGGGTGCGGAGCCTTCTTGGAACTGCTGAAAGGACTGGGTTATAGACTGGAGGTGGATGATTAGTAATTAGTAATAGTAGTAAAGTTGGAAGGGACCTTGGAGGTCATCTAGTCCAACCCCCTGCTCAGGCAGGAAACCCTACACCATTTCGGACAAATGGCTGTCCAGTCTCTTCTTAAAAACCTCCAGTGTTGGAGCATTTACTGCTTCTGGAGGCAGGTGGTTCCACTGATTAATTGTTCTCACTGTCAGGAAGTTTCTCCTTAGTTCTAGATGGCTTCTCTCTTTGGTTAGTTTCCACCCGTTGCTTCTTGTCCTGCCTTCAGGCGCTTTGGAGAATAGCTTGACTCCCTCTTCTTTATGGCAGCCCCTGAGATATTGGAATACTGCTATCCTGTCCCCCCTTGTCCTTCTCTTCGTTAAACTAGACATACCCATACCCAAACTAGTCATATCCCACTAAGTCATGTCTGACTCTTTGCGACCCTGTGGACCACAGCACACCAGGCCCTTCTGTCCTCCGCCGTCGTCTCCTGGACTCTGCCCAAATTCACGGTCATTGTGTCGACGACCTTATCTAACCATTTCATCCTCTGCTGTCCCCTTCTCCTTTTGCCTTCGGTCTTTCCTAACCTCAGGCTCTTCTCTAATAAGTCCTCTCTTTTCATTCGGTGGCCAATATATTTGAGCTTCAGCGTTAGGAACTGTCCGGTTGAATTCCTTTAGGATTGACTGGATCTCCCTGCCGGGTCCAAGGGACTCTCAAGCACCTTCTCCAGCACCACAATTTGAAAGCATCAATTCTTTGGCGCTCAACCTTCCTTATGGTCCAGCTCTCACAGCCGTACATCATTCCTGGGAAGACCATAAGCTTTGACTACAACAGTGGTTCTCAACCTGTGGGTCAGGACCCCATTTGGGGTCGAACGACCATTTCACGGGGGTCGCCAAACAACGCAGTCCGCCATTTTTTTCCCCCTTTTCCTTAGCTGTGCTACTCCCTTTTATTCTATTGGCTTTTGAAAGCCAATAGAATAGACTCTCTTGAATAGAGTCTAATTCTATTGGCTTTCAAAAGCCAATAGGAATTGTCCAGGCTGTCTCTGCCCTGATGAGCCTGTCAAAAGTCCCATGCTGCAAACGGTGCTGCACCAGTTGAGTAGTCCTTGACTTACGACCGGTTGAGTAGTCCTTGACTTACGACCGGTTGGGGGGTCGGGGCATTAAAAAGGTTGAGAACCACTGGACTACAACATCTATCCTTCCAACCATCAAACTTTCTCTCCCCATTGAAGCAGGTGACAGAAGAACCAAAACTCAAAGAGAGGGTGCTAAGTCCCTATGCGGGCTCCTTCCTGTCTTTTTCTCTTTGATCTTTGTGCTCCCTCACATTAGAACGGGTCACATAAGCCAAATCAGACAACACTGGCCAAAAATTACAGATCAATTTCGGCGTCTCTTATCGCAGTGCTTCGGAGATGGGAGAAGTCCATTTAAATGCTTTTCATCATCTCAGAAAAGCAACACCTATTAATTTTTTTACAATTATGGATGGAGATGGACTGAAAGCCACTACAGGCAGTCCTCGACTTACAATCACAACTGGGGCCAGAATTTCAGGCGGTTGCTAAGCGAATCACGCCTCATTTTACAACTTTTGTGCCACGAGAGTTAAATGAATCGCGGCAAGTGTTAAGTGAGTCATGGGGTCATCAAGGAAATCCGGCCTCCTGCGCTGACTTTGCTCGTTTGAAACCAGTTGAGAAGGTCGCAAAGGGCAATCCCATCACCCAAGATGTGTCAACTATTGTAAATACATGCCAGTTGCCAAGCACCCAAATTCTGACCACATGACTATGAGGATGCTGGAATGGTCACTAGCCGTGAGAACTTGTTCCCAGGTCCATTTTTTCAGGGCCTCTGTAACTTTGAAGAGTCGCAAGGACTACCTGTAGTCAGAAGCCAAAGGAACTTCACGCTTGCTGTTTAAATGGGTATCAATACAGTATCAAAAATGCAATCCTGCACCAAAAAAGATGATTTAAATAAAGTTATATGGCTGCCCATCTCACGTTTAGTGGCTCTAGGCCAGTGGTTCTCAACCTTTTTAATGCCGTGACCCCCCAACCGGTCGTAAGTCAAGGACTACTCAACCAGTCGTAAGTCGAGGACTACTCAACTGGTGCAGCACCCTTTGCAGAATGGGACTTTTGGCAGGCTCAGCAGGGCAGACAGCCTGGACAATTCTTATTGGCTTTTGAAAGCCAATAGAATTAGACTCTAAATAAAAGGGAGTAGCACAGCTAAGGAAAAGGGGGGAAAAAATGGCGGACTGCGTTGTTTGGCGACCCCCGTGAAATGGTCATTCGACCCCAAATGGGGTCCCGACCCACAGGTCGAGAACCACTGCTCTAGGCTGTGTACAAATATTAAAATCAGCAATTAAAAATAAGAACACATGACACCTTAATCATAGGACCACATCACCAGCAGAGCTTGTCTAACCTCCTGGCCCAAATTTCCGTGAAAACAGTCAGGCTTTCAGAGTTTTGCGAAAGGCTAACAGGGTCAGATCTAGACCCAGATAACAACTGTGAAGTCATAGCAGACGATAGCTTCTAGCCAAGTTTGGATGATTGTGAAAAGTTAAGCAGGGTTGGACCTGGTGACTACTTGGGTGGCGAACTGCCAGGATATTTCAGAGTAGCAGGCTAGATTAGAAAAGGTAGAAAAAAAAAAAACATTCTGAAGCTGCCATGAAAGTCACAACAACAAGTGAAGTCATACGTAGTAAAAGGTGAAGCAAATCCTTAAATAAAATTCTGTAGATATCACAAGAAATCTAGGAAACTAGATCTATTGTCTAGACCTGTGTTTCTCAACCTTGACAATTTTAAGGCATGTGACTTCAACTCCCAGAATTCCACAACCAGCAATGCTGGCTGTGGAATTCTGGGAGTTGAAGTCCACATGCCTTAAAATTGTCAAGGTTGAGAAACACTGGTCTAGACAAGTCCAGAAAATTGGACTTAAAACATATTTAGAGCGGTGAGGCTCTAAAGTGTTGCAATATTTTAGTACTCATGCTGTTTATTAATTAGGAGTCAAGTTGGAGATTACAGGTAGCTCTCAATTTACAATCTATCATTTAGTGACTGTTCGAAGTTACAACAGCCTGGAAAAAGCAACTTATGACCCCTTTTCACATGTATAACAATTCACCATGGCCAACTTGCCGTAGGAGTTACACTAATATTGAAGAAATAGTATCATTAAAGAAAGCAGTGATGGCGAACCTTTTAGAGACCAAGTGCCCAAACTGCAACCCAAAACCCACTTAGGCATCGTTGGGTGCCAGGTGGGTGTGGCCCATTGGCTGGGTATGGTCAATTGGGGGGTGTGGCCCATTGGATGGGCGTGGCTGCGGTGGTAACGGCAGACTGGGTGGGACTAAAAAGTTCAATCAATCAATTCCAACTTTGCAAGATCTTTTTTTTTCCCGCGAGAAGTTGAAATTGATTGATTGAACCTTTTTTTTTTTTTTGCACACGGCAACGGAGGCCTAAAGCGAAAAGGTTTTATAAAACCCAGCTGAAGGCCTAGGACTGGGGTGACGGTGTGCGTGCCCACAGAGAGGGCTCTGAGTGCCGCCTCTGGCATCCGTGCCATAGGTTCGCCACCACTGAAAGGATGCCAAAGGAGGGACAAAATGAAATGTGAATGATTAAAAATTAAAATAATTTTTTAACTCTTTTAAATAAACTGAACTGTTGAATTGTCCCACAGCACGCTGGCTGTGGTAAGTTGTCTCATTCCAGTTGCTGGGGTAGGTCTCCTCCACTCACCCACCCTCCCCGTGCTTACGCTGTGCTGGTCAATGCACACTCTCTCACTGTGTCCCTCCTTACACCTTCCCGGACCTACGCCTGCCTGTCTGCCAATTTGAAATGTGCAACTTCCTGCTAACTTTGGTTATGAGAAGCCGGCAGGAAGTTGCCGCTTCTAACCACGGTGAGATTTAGTTAACAGCAGCAACCAGGATGGCTTTAGGACCACACCGCTTAGCCATGGAAATTCCGGTCTCAACGGCCATGTACGCAGAGGACTACCTGCGTGTTTTTCGAAAGCTCAGCTCAAAAGTTGCCGTTTGCATTGTTATCGCTTTGTAAGTTTATTGCTCTTGACGCCTTTGGCTGACTTCAGGCCCACGTTTGGAAAAATGGCTTGGCCTTTTTTCTCCCCCCCTCACCCGGTCTCACCTTCCGTGCCATAATTAGCCCTGAGGGTTTATGTTGTACTTTGGTGACCACCCCACCATTGCCAGCTCCTAGTTCCGAAATCCTCTCGAAATCGTCGTCTTTCAGTTCACCCACTTTGGCCTTCTGGGTGAGGAAAGCTTCCAACCGTTTCTTCTGCTGCTCGTCCAGCTCCAGTTCTTCCAGTTTCTTCTGGAGGTCAACCAGGTGTGCTCTAAAGGAAAAGAGGGCGAGAGCCATCAGATCCATGCAACACACTGCTGTGTGCGGCGGAGTGGAGCAGCAGGGACATTGCTATATTTGCTAATCATGCTATATTTGCTAGTCATCACCTGGCTGCCACAATTTCCCAAATTGATGTACAGGTAGTTCTTGACTTACAACCATTAAGTGGTCGTTCGAAGTTACGACAGCACCGGGAAAAAAAATGAATTAGGACCATTTTTCACACTTAACGACCGTTGCAGCATCCCCAGGGTCACACGATCAAAATGCAGATGCTTGGCAACCGACTTATGTTTATGACAGTTGAAGTGTACTGGGATCACGTGATCCCCTTTTGCAACCTTCTGACAAGCCAAGAAATAGGGAAGCCAGATTCATTTCACAACTGTGTTATTAACTTAACAACTGAATGATTCCCGGAACAACGGTGGTAAGAAAGGTCGTAAAATGGGGCAAAACTCACTTAACAACTGTCTTGCTTAGCAATGGAAATTTTAGGCTCAGTCATGGTTGTAAGTCAAGGTCTACCTGTACTGAAGACTGTAAGTATTTGCTTACCGTAAATGCTGGCGTACAAGGCGACCCGGCGTATAAGACGACCCCCGTCTTTATAGCCGGGCCGCATTCCTAGAATGTCGTCTTATACGCTGGAAACTACCAGTATTTCCGGCGTATAAGATGACTCGGCGTATAAGACGACCCCATCTTTGGCGCCGATTTCAGCGCTCGCGGAAGTCGCCTTATACGCCGGCATTTACAGTAGTTCTGTGCCAGGCTACATTCTAATATTCAGTGTTGGCTAGGAGGAATGTCTATTTTCTCCATCTAAACAAGATATTCTCCAAGCCGCCTAAACAAAATGGGGACAGAGGTTTTCAAATAGATATATTCTGCCAGTTGGTGTTATTTTTTAATTCTATTTGCTTTTTTAATGTACTGTACATTGGGGTTATTTTCCTTTTTCTTCTTGATGCTTTCAACTAGAGCAGTGGTTCTCAACCTTTCTAATGCTGCGACCCCATAATACAGTTCCCCATGTTGTGGTGACCCCCAACCACTTATACATCACCGGGTGCCAGGGGCGTGGCCAAAGAAAAGGGGAAAAAATGGCGGACAGCCTTGTTTGGCGACCCCCGTGAAATGGTCGTTCGACCCCAAATGGGGTCCCGACCCACAGGTTGAGAACCACTGAACTAAAGTGAGATTGTAAGTTTTCACAATCCCCTTCCTTCATTCTCAATGCCTCAATCTTGCCTAATTCCCCCCAGTGGATAGTAGCTTCTTCCAAATCGTCTTTTGTTCAAGATAATTTCTCACTCACACAACAATTTACTAAAGAAGCTCCTCAGCTTTTTCTCTCCCCGCTGCTCGCATGTCGTTCCAGGTCTATACTTTGCTTCCATTTAGCAACATTCTATTTGCGGATATAATTGTGAATTCCAGAACCCTACACTGGGGCATCTACAACAGTACTGATGGCAGTTTAAATTCACTGAGCTTCTAATGTAGGTTAAGCAGTACTGGAGGAAGGGTTAACATTATTATTCATTTTTAATTGTTGTGATCTGCACAATGGGTTTTCGGTTTGGTTATTTAAAAAAAACCCTGTAAATAAAGAAAGAGTCACACTTCACAGAGATACAATTGAAAACCTCAAGTCTCTGGATGTTTAACCCACCCTCCCTCCCTCAACAGAAGGTTCACAGACAAAACTTGACCAAATTTATCTCTTTAACACAGGTAAGAACAAAATCTTATATGCACAGAACATGTGGTACTGTAGTACACAGGTATCAAAAACCTCTATAGGTCTATGTTCCGGGGTTTAAATTCTTATTTTTTTCCCTCCCACGTTTTCATGTCAATGGTTATTTGAGGGGGTCTCTTGAAAGATACTTAAGCTATATTAACATGATTGTTCTCTTCAGCATAAGAATCACGGGGTTAAGCTTTATTCCTGAAAATGAAACATCTTAATATTAGACCTCTCCAAGTCTTAGGCTATAAATAATTAGGAGTTTCTCCTTTGCAATGCCCACTTTGTGGAATCATTCTTATCCTAGCTCAGTGCAAGTTTTAAATTTGCCGTAGCTGCAATTCTATGCATATTTATTCAAAATAAATCAAGCAAAATTCAGAGAGGCTTATTTTTAAGTAGGAATCCACTGAACTGACATCTTTAAAAAACATTTTTATTTTAGAAGGTGGACAGTTCATTTGGATAAAAGGAAAACATTTCTCAGGGGAAAAAAAGAAAAAATGAAATAAGCTTTTTTTAAAAAAAATAGAAAGATGAGAAGACAAGCAGTCAATTCTGTATCTTGATGGTTCCCAGATTCCAGCTCTTAAGTTACAAAAATTCCTTTCTTCCCATTTAAATATGTCCTGTTTAAAGTATTTAAGTCCATAAGTACTTTTATAAAAGACTGGAAACCTTTTACAGACTTTTTGCTGAAAACGGGCAGAAATAAACTGGTGGTTTGGGGGGTTTGCTGATTAAAAGGGATTAAATATAGGAAGAGATCTATATACTAGATCTCTATGGGTGGGAGATGATAAAAGTTTGTAACTGTTGTAATGAAGATTAGAAGTGGCTTTACGTTTTCTTTTCTTTCCTGTTTCTTTCTCTTTTACATTTTCTACTTTATAATTTGTTCTTCGTTATCTTTTAATTAGGTAAAATCTTTCAACAAAAGTGATAACCTATCTAAAGCCAGCAGTTTTTCTTGTGCATTATTTCTCCTGCTTTTCCTTTTTTTCTACAGTTCTGATTCCTCGTCCACGCATAATTCCTTACATTTCATTTGCATACCTTCAGCAAAGTTTTTAAACACTATGCTTCCTTTGATCTGAACCCCAGTGCTTAGAGCAGTTCTTTTGCTATAATATTCTCCATTACAAATATGTAGATGTAATTTCCTGATCCATTTACACAGATCTTGAAAGGACACATTATACGGTCAGCTGCCCTGCATCAAACTGCTGCTTTTGTGCGAATCTGTAGCATTTCCACCGATCTATCTCAGTTTCTTTTAAGTATTGCTGCTCCTTATTCTAAGTCCCCTCTGAGCATTTCAGAACTGCCAACTTATCATTCTTTTCTCCAAATATTACTCAACAGATGCTACTTTTTTCACTAGATCAATCTGAACAATTTAATTCCGAAGCACACATCATCTTTCCCACCAATCAGCAACTCACATATTCAACCCCCTGCCCTTCTTCTCATACTGTACCCATTTTTATGTGTGTGCTTATAACTGTTAAAGAAGCTGAGCTGATCAGATGGAAAGCATACAGCCTGGGTTCGAAGCCCGAGCGCTGTTGAACAGGATGAGCTCCCGTTCGTTGCCCCAGCCCACCTAGCAATTCAAAAGCATGCAAATGCAAGTAGATCAATAGGTACCAATTCGGTGGGAAGGTAACAGCGTGTTCGGTGCACCTCAGTATATAGCCATGCTGGCCACATGATCATGGAAAATGTCTTCGGATGACTCTGGCTCCCTCGACCAAGAAACAGAGATGACCACCATGCCCTAGAGCAGGGGTAGGCAACTTTGGCTCTTTTATGACTTGTGGACTTCAACTCCCAGAATTCCTAAGCCAGCCACGCTGAGGGGAAAGGGAGAGGTTTCCACACTGGCTCAGGAATTATGGGAGTTGAAGTCCACGAGTCATAAAAGAGCCAAGATTGCCTACCCCTGCCCTAGAGTCAGAGCACAACTGGACAGGGAGACCTTTATCTTTCACCTTTAAATCAGATCCCTATGGCCAAATCAGAGCACTGGTTTCCCATGAAATTCAATCAGCACATTTTTTAAAACAATCAACAATCTATTAAATGTCCATCCTATTTGCAGGTGATGAACCTCTGGCCTACATCGTTAGTCCCAGGTTCAAATCTCTACTCCAGCATGTATCTTACCATAAGATCACAGACCATGAGTCTCACGCTTTATTACAGATAGTCCTCAACTTACAACAGTTCGTTTAGTGACTGTTTGAAGTTACGACAGCGCTGGAAAAAATGACTAAAGATAGTTTTTCACACTTACGACCATGGCCACATTGCCACGGTCACATGATCAAAATTCGGTCGCTCATATTTATGATAGTTGCAGTGTGCCAGGAGTCTGTGATCACCTTTCGCAACTCCCTGAAAATCAAAATCAAGAGGGGAGCCAGATTCATTTAACAACTGCAGTGATTCACTTAACAACTGTGGCAAGGTAGGTTGTAAAATGGGGCAAAATTCACAACAGATATCTTGTTTAACAACAGAAATGTTAGGGTCCATTGTGGTCCTAAGTTGAGGACTATCTGTACATTGCATATTTGTAAGGTTGGGCAGATGTGACACTAAATGTGGTCAACATTACAAACAACAAACAACACTATGAAAAACAAAGGACATTTTAAGCAAGTATGCTATGCAAATCCAGTGAGTATGGCTTTCTATGCTTCAGTGTGTCACTGAGTAATTCATGGTATAAGCAGGTTATGCAAATACACCATAATTATACTTGACTGTATGGGTGTTATGTGAGACACACACACACACATTATGTTTTAAGCTCTCTGAACAGCGATTTCTATAATCAGTAAAATACTAAAATTAGTGTACACAGACATATATATTCCAAATTTTTAGCTTAGATGACATAAGATTTTTGTGATAGTGTCATGTCTACCCTCACAAACTAACTGCCCTGAGGGATAACCAATTCACAAAATGGCTGCAGCTGGTTATAGACTGGGTTAAAAACAGCACTAGAATCTGAATACACGATGGTCCTGCCCATAGTTACACATTTCCATATTCCCAACTGTTCAAAGTTGTTACAGAAATAGCACTAGAGTGCAAAGGGGGGGGGGGGAGAATGCCATTACAGTTAATAGTACCTAAACTCCTTGGAAAAGACAAGATAAAACTATGTAATAAAAATAATTGCCATTCAATTCTTTTATTATTGGCTTTAAACTACTGCTCTTCTTTCCACACAATTTCTCTACTCAATATCTCCAATTCTTCTTAATTGCTGCTCCCTGCTACATTATGCGTACTCCGTTCTTAAACATTTTATGGCACACACTTTCATATTTTCTGAATACTGATTCTCTCTCTCTCCAACATTCATTTCTAAATCATCAATAATATAGAAGATTAATAATTTTAATTAGGCGGGTCACTACCATGTTAACACAGATTATAAGAAAATCTTTGCTGTATTGAAGACCCCGCTCAGTCTTGCATCCTATGTGGTTCAGGGGGCCCAACCACACATGTTCTGGAAACTAAAAATACAGGGAGGTGGATGTTCTCTTCCATTGTCACTCCTTGGCAGCTGGTAATTATTCAAGCCTGTGAATCTTGGTATTATTTCCACTACCAAAATCAGCAGCTTTCTACCGATAATTTGGGCTTCCATGGTTTCATGTAGGCTACGGATGTCCAACCTTGGCAAATTTAAGACTTATGGACTCCTCAGCCAGCATGGTTAATTCTGGGAATTAAAGTCCATAGGTCTTAAAGTTATCAAGGTGGGATGTCCCTGGTCTAGTCACTTTTAAAAATAATCTAAATTGTTGGTTATCATTGTGATGTGATTAAAGCATATTTTAACTACATATATACATATATGTTTGTGCGTACATATAAATACCCTTCTATTTATTTATTTCAAATAATGTTCTACATAAAATTTCAGGCAGTTTCAAAGAATACCCCCTCTTTCCATCAATAAGAGGACAAATGGCTTCTGTTTGTCAACACTTTCTAGAAATGTAGAAATTTACATCTATTAATGTAAATATGAAATGCTACTGTCTTTAATAGCAGTTAGAACAATTAATCAGTGGAACAACTTGCCTCCAGAAGCTGTGAATGCTCCAACACTGGAAGCTTTTAAGAAGAGATTGGACAACCATTTGCCTGAAATGGCACAGGGCTTCCTGCCTGAGCAGGGGGTTGGACTAGAAGACCTCCAAGGTCCCTTCCGACTCTGTTGTTCTGTATTCTATTCTGTATTCATTCATTCTTTTTGCTAATTGCCCACATTTCTATATAGGCTTCATCCTTTATATGGCTAACATCTCTCATCACAATTATGCCTTTCCAGGTCATTGACAGTTGTTCCTCACCCCTATTACTAACAACACTTCAACTTATTTATGAAAACACATTTCAACACAAATCGTTCTACATGTGAAAAGTCTTGAATATCACTGCCCTGTCAGTTGAAGCTTCACGTTTTTCTTACAGACCTTTTCAGTTCCCCCTAATCATGGACCTCTTCAAGATTAAAACCTTAAGTACAAATTCTTGGGAGTATGGCCCATTGGATTAAAAAGTCAGCTTCTAAGTAAACTTGCAAAGTACTATGTTTTAAACACCCAACATTCTCCTTCTTCTGTCTCCCCAGTCATTACTTTGCCAGTTCATTCGTCGCCTTATAGTGTATCAGTACTTCAACTATAATAAATTGTTTCTCCGATTCTTGTTTTGTAATATTGTAAAATGCATTTTACACATTGCTTGAATGCCTCATTTTATCTGAGCAAAAATGGTCTGGAACAGCATTTCATTTATAAGGAGCCTGAAGAATAGCATGTCCTATAAAATATGCTGAAAGAAAATGAAAACATCTTTTAAAACTCTATGTAAGTTGTGATAGGCAGCTTTTCAGCTATTATAGAATGAACTATTGCACAATATTCAATTGTAGCAGTGAAACAAGGATCTATTCGGGCAGAGTTTTCCCAAGGTTATTTTAAGAGCAGACATACAAGCCTTTAAATTCTCCCCCCCCCCCCAGTGCTCCAACCTGATCAACAGAATGAGGTCTTACAGCCTGCTTCTGTCTTAGGTTAACATCTCTATTATCTGTCAAACATGATTGGAAGCATTCCATTCTCCAACATCTGTTCATCAGGAATTACAACTTGACTTCACCCACAACTGTGGTTGAACATACTGTAGACCAAAAGTGGTGGCAACACTGTTCTCTTTCAAGAGATGTATCAAGCAAAATCTTCTTCCTCCCTTAATTACGAACATTTGGCCAGCAAATATGAGGTGACAAAATAACCTGTTTCATTGGTTTTAAATGAATTGTTACTTGATTTTGCTGGTCTTTTCACCGGGTCTAGGCGGCCACTGCATCCTTCCTCTCTTTTCAAGTTTTTCATAGAACATAGAATAATAGGGCTAAAAGGGACCTTGGAGATCTTCTAGTCCAACCCCCAGCCTATGGCAGGAGATCCTAAACCTATAGGATAGTGGTTCTCGACCTTTTTAATGTCGTGAACCCCCAACCAGTCGTAAGTCGAGGACTACTCAACTGATCGTAAGTCGAGGACTACTCAACTGATGCAGCACCGTTTGCAGACTGGGACTTTTTGCGGGCTCAGCAGGGCAGAGACAGCCCGGGCAATTCCTATTGGCTTGTGAAAGCCAATAGAATTAGACTCTATTCAAGAGTCTATTCTGTTGGCTTTCAAAAGCCAATAGAATAAAAGGGAGTAGCACAGCTAAGGAAAAGGGGGGAAAAATGGCGGACTGTGTTGTTTGGCGACTCCCGTGAAATGGTCGTTCGACCCCAAATGGGGTCCCGACCCACAGGTTGAGAACCGCAGCTATAGGAGATGCTATTCCATTTCAGACGCAGAGGGCCCCAAATTAGATATGGTCATCAATGCTAGAAGGTAGTGGGGGGGGTTTCGTGGAATGGAGGAGATGGGGAGGAGGAGGACGATGGCTGTGGGGTCCTTGGTGCTCTCTGAGCTTGGTAGTTTTGTTGCAAGTGTTTAATGACCCAACTAAATAACATCAACAATGCCAGAGGAGAGCTGGGTTTGTGGAGTGGAGAAGTAGGACAAGGAGGAGGAGGGTGGGTGGGTGTGGGATCCTTAGTCCTCTGAGCTTGGTGGCTTTTTTTGCAGGCATTTCATGACCCAAGCTAGGTAACTATCAGAAGTGCCAGAAGAGAGCAAGGTTTGTAGAGTGGAGAAGAGGAGGAAGGAGAAGGGCTGTGGGGTCCTTGGCACTCTCTGAGCTGGGTGGCTTTCTTGCCCACGTCTCATGACCCAAACTAGGTAACATCATAAGTGTCAGTTCACTTATTATCCCATTTTGGGTCTCCTGAAATGTCGGCAAGAAAACCACCATCCTCAGAGACACCTCATTTCAACCCTGAGCTAGAAATATTCTCCTTGATTGGCATTCCGGACCATCTCAGGGCAGAAGAAGAATCTGCCTGGAAGGACTTCCTTCCTCTTTCCCATGGGGCGCATCCCAACACCCCCATCCACCCTTTCCTGGACCCTAAAGACCAATAAAGTATTCCAATATTTGAGGGGTTGCCAAAAAGGAGAAGGGAGTCAAGCTATCCTCCAAAGCAGCTGAAGGCAGGACAAGAAGCAACGGGTGGAAACTAAATCAAGGAGAGCAGCAACCTAGAACTAAGGAGGAATTTCCTGACTGAGGACAATTAACCAGTGGAACAGCTTGCCACCAGAAACTGTGGGTGTTCTAACACTGGAGGTTTTTAAGAAGAGATTGGACAGCCAATCTCCTGCCTGAGCAGGGGGTTGGACTAGAAGACCTCCAAACTCCCTGTTTGTTCTATTTTGATCCTGTCTTGTCTAATGCTAATAATTCTAATGCTAATAATTCTAATGCTAATAATTCTATTCTATTCTCCACCACCAGCAGCACCCGAGCTGCTCCACCGCCTGCGGCTCTACCTTTCTCTCGGGGCTTCGCCTTGAGGCAGCCCCCCCTCCCCGTTCGTGGATCGAGATGCTCCTCCAAAGGCCGACCGCGTCCTCCCTCCCAGCGGCTCCCCCGACCTTTCCTCGCCTCACAGCAGCTCCCCACAACTCCGAAATACCTTCCGGGAGCAAATTTTCCTCCTTTTTTTTCTCTCGCTCCCCGCCCCCCCCCCTCACAAATACCTCGCCTCCTTCGCCCGCTCCCCTCAGACCCAAACCCGGCGCCTCACTCCGACCCACGCGGGGCTCAAGCCCAACTCACTCGGAGCCGTCGCCCTCGCCGCTGCCGGTGGGGCTGGGTCCCTCGGCGATGGTGGGGGTGATGTTGAGGGCCGGCGGCACCAGTTTCCTCTTGGCCGGCATGGCGGCGGAGGCTGGGGCTCGCGTTCCGTGGCGCCTAGTGAGGGACCCGCCTCAGAAGAAGAAGCCGCAGTGGCGTCGTCATCGCCCGGCTTGGCCGCCCTACGCGAGGCCGAGGCTGCACGCGAGGCCTAAACCCCTCAGCCCGGCCCTGAGGTAAAAAAACGCGAAGAGGCGAGATGAGGAGAGGAAGGGGGCGTGGCCGAAGCGCCTGCGCGCGCCCGGCCGCGCCAGGGAGAAACTGTGGGGAGGGGAAGCCTCCTCCCACCAATTCGCCGTTTCGCCATTGGCTGGCGCTCTCGCGGCCACCCCATCCACCCACTCTCTACCTGGCGATTGGACGGCTTGCTCTGGGGGTTGAGGCGCGCGCTCGCGAGCCCTTCTCTGGATTGGCCGGGGCGCTGGGAAAAGGGGGCCGCGCGAGCCGGCCGGCCAGCGAGCGAGCGCGCGCCCGCCCAGGTGAGGAAGCCTCCCCTCGCGATTGGTCGAATCTCTTTAAAGAAGCGAGAGAAGACATCGAGTTGAGAGACGCAAGCGGGAGGGAGGGGGAGGAAAGAGGAGAAAGGAGGCAAGTCTCGCGAGACTAGACCTCGGATATTTATTTATTTTTTTTGCCCACTCCACTTGAGAGCAAGACACTCCCCCCCAATCGCCGCAAGAAAGGTTGGCGCATGCGCACTGCCAGCTGAGGGGGAAAAGGCGGGAAATTTTTTTTGGGCACGCGGGCGGCTGCTCGTCGGTTGAAGCCGAGCCTGAGGTGTGGTAACAGCTGGCTTCCCGTGCTGTGGGCAGTTTTATAGGAAATTTCAAACAAGGAACACTGCAAGAGCTTTTGTTTTTAACTCTTTCTCCACTGAGTCGTCAAAACCAGGAAGACTGAACCCATTCTTCCCTTGGCTCTCAGAGAAATGCCTCATGAGGAAATCTGAAAGTTGAGTCATGGCAACTGGTCTATTTTTTTTTTAATTTGAAACATTTGGCTGATTACTCAAGTAGCTTCTTGATTATGAGGAAATGTTCCCAGGGAAGATGCTCCTTTGCTGGGCTTCCAAGTGGGACGAGGTTGCATTCTCTCCCTTTTCTTATTCAACCTGGATGCTGAAATGGTCATGAGGAAGCTAGACCTTGAAGAATTGGGGGAAAGGTTGGTGGAAGAAACATCAATGATCTTTGATGTGCTGATGATTCAACCCTTCCCTCAGAAATCAAACATCTGATTCAGCCTGGATGCTGAAATGGTCATGAGGAAGCTAGACCTTGAAGAATTGGGGGAAAGGTTGGTGGAAGAAACATCAGTGATCTTTGATGTGCTGATGATTCAACTCTTTCCTCAGAAATCAAACATCTGATCAAGAAAATCAAAGAAGAAAGTGAGAATTTTGGTTTCTTCCTGGACGTCAAAAAGACCAAAGTCATGGCCATTGCAAGGAAAGGAAACTTCAAAATAGAAATCGGTGAAGAGAGAGAATGTGTGGAAAAATTTACTTTCCTTGCATCAAGATAGCTCAGAATGGTGAATGCAGTGTTATGTGATTGCGATTTTGTGATCTCAGGTGGCTTCCAACAAGCATAGTCAATGACTGATTCGCTTAACAATTGCAGTGATTCGCTTAACAATTGTGGCAAAAAAGGTCATAAAATTTGTCATGACTTACTTAACTGCCTTGCTTAGCAACTGAAATTCTGGCCCCAGTTGTGATTGTAAGCCGAGGACTACCTATATACTGAGTATGCTGATGACTGATGTAAATCTCCAGTCCTAGCCAGTCAAATGGTACTCTTGAAGTACTGACCAAGTGCCTGGAAATGGTGACACTCTAGATGAGGAATTGGCTCCAGCTCAACCCTTGCAAGACAGAATAACTTCGGGTTCTTGCTCCCCCCTGCCCCTTTCTGGATATGTTGATGTGTCATCTTTGATCCTCCCTGGATCTTGGAAGAGAAAGGATATGCCATATGTTCAAGTAGGCTTTAGAAAAGGCCAAAGAAAAAGAGAGATTATTGCATGTGTGTGATGGATAATTCAGAAAGTCAGAGTATCAAAAAAAAAAAATCTGACGTGACTGAATCAAAATTGGAATCGTGCAGGCAGTGTTTATTTTAGTGGCTTTATGAACACAAAAAGCTGGAGTTTGAAAAAGGGTAGAAAGTGTATTGACACATTTGAATTTTAGTGTTGAAGACTTTTGAGAATACCATGGAACAAATCAATCCAGAGGTCTCAGATGCCCAGGCTCAAATTATTGAAATCTAACTCTCTTGAAAGTCAATAATAGTGGGGAAGATGAAAAGGAAAACAAAGGAGAGAAGAACCAGCCAGAAGCTTGATGGACTTGATTATAGCAGTCCTGGGTGCACCATTGGAGAAGACCTGAAGGCCCACTTCATAGAAAAGGTTTATCGGTAGTCACTAAGAATTGACACCAACTAGATGGCACATCATTTGTACAGCAAAATTAAGTATTATTAAATGCTGTGTTACTTCTTTGTCACCCAGGCTGAAGCATCCCTGAGCAGTCTGCCACAAGAGGCAGAAAGTATAAAACCCACAGACCAACCACAAATTGATCAGTCAATGCAAGACCTTTTAAACAACAATAGTAGGAAATTGGCAGTATCTTCAATAAAAGCCTTTCTGCTAAAAACTGGGGGAAGCAGGAATCATTATTATGTTTGTTGAATGCTGAAATTAAAACAGCTGGAAATGGCCCTTTAGGCTTCTACTGTGTCTTAGAACTGGAGTATGAAATATCACCTTCCAAACCAAGACAACAAGGCATCTCTCTTTCCTTCCACCTCGCCTTTATAGTTGTCAATTTTTTTTCTCAGCACTCTTAACGGAAAAGCCACATGTCCCATCTAACCATCCTAAAACCCAGCCAGACATTCTGAGGAAAATGGCTATGTACATGTGCTAGAAGAAGATTCACACCGCAGTATTGTTCTGTTCCTTTCATTCTCACCCACTGTATTACCCTATCCATCTGCTGAGCCGCTCACATTGTTCTCCCCACATTCCCATGGCAGCCAAACACCTCTTAGTCACTTAAAAATAGAAAGAACAGAACAGATCTCTTCCAATAAAAGACAAATCAGGGTTTGCCAACAGGTTGAGTCGATGTGACACACACACATACAGGCGTTGCATTACACGTGCCTGAGTGAGAAAGAAACACATTATATAACTGAATCTTCTGGTGCATATGAACTCAGCCTGCTTTTCTATTTCTTACTTAATGTACATCCATATAAATGGATTTGTATTCATATGTTTATAGTTCTCTAAACAAAAGTGAGGATTTGCACAAGTACACCTTAGTTTAAAGCTATGCTATATTCACATTTGGGCAGTGATAAATCTGAGGCATATTTATGCACTTAGGATATATGCATGAATATTAACATCCAGCTACAAAATGTCTTGTGCAAACTATAAGTTACAACTGGTGTCTTGAAATCTAAAGTAAACAGCTTGCGAATAGCTGTTCTCAATAGAACAAAAACTTAGCTTTTATGCATCCATGCTATTTGTTTATGTAGTTTTTTGTGCAAAAGCAGACGTACTATATTTGTTTTGGAGTTAACTAAGCATGACTAGCATGGAGAACAAAAAACTGGACAATGCTTTACATTTTTATTATGCTGTGATGCATTTCTTTCTTATGTTTGTGTTTTCCTGGTATCACAGAATCAAAGACAGATTAAAACTACTTATGACCACAATTCAGCCCAAACCTTTTGTTGCTAAGACATTTGTTAAGTGAACTTTGCCCCATTTTTACGACCTTTCTTTCCACAGTAGTTAAATGAATCACTGCAGTGATCAAGTTAGTAACACAGTTGTTAAGTGAATCTGGCTTCCCCGTTGACTTTGTTAGAAGATCGCAAAAGGGGATTGTGTGACCCTGCGACACTGCGACCATCATAAATATGAGTCAGTTGCCAAGTGTCTGAACTTTAATCATGTGACCCCAGGGATGCTGCAGTGGTCATAAGTGAAAAACGGTCATACGTCACTGTTGTAACTTTGAACTGTCACTACAGGAACTGTTATAAGTCGAGGGCTACCTGTATTTAAAACAGCAAGAAATTACTTAAGAGTTAACTTATTAAACCAGTTTGCAATATAAATCAAGGGGTATTTTTTTTTTTTTACCTTTTCCCATTCTCACAATTTCTCACTGCATATTTGGAAACATACACATTCAAAAGGACTGTAGTTATGTTTTGCCAAATGACCAGAACTTGAACACTTTCAATAGTCGAAAAGGATGCACATGACCGGCCAGTTGTTCAAATCCAGGAGCAATTTAACAAGGTCTTTTTGCAAAAGACTAAAACAGCTACCCTACTAAAATAGATATGTAGGTGAAAGGTTTGTTATTGTACATCTTTGCACTGCAAACATCCCTCTAAATGAATATACAAACAAAGTAATCTACTTTGTGATATTTTAGAGCTGTGCTTCTTCAGGTTGTTCCTAGGATCCATGGGGGTATTCCCAGGACCATCCCAGGGCTCCTTAAAATCAAAATTATTTACTAAGCTATGCTGAAAAATAATACAATATTAAAATTCCATCAAATAATCATGAGAAGCCATAGCAGCAGTGAATGTGTCAGTCTTAATTTTTGATATGGTAAATGTTGTTAAATGTAATCCATATAAACAAAAGTTATAATTTAAAAAAAATAGGGGTGCTGAGAGGAAAAAAAAACTTTAAGAAAAATTGCTCTAACAATGGAAGTTTTTAAGAAGAAACTGGACAGCCATTTGTCCGAAATGGTATAGGGTTTCCTGCCTGAGCAGGGGGTTGGACTAGATGACCTCCAAGATCCCTTCCAACTTTACTACTACTATTATTATTATTATTATTATTATTATTATTATTATTATTAGATCATTACTTTAGAAATATTACGACTACTAATTGTGGCAACTCTGCAATAGTTCAGATGAAAAATCCTGACAAAAACCAGATGAGCAAAAAGTAATTGTATAAA